CAATGCATGTATTTTGACCAGCGCCATCTAGTGGTAGTTCTTGGAATAAAAGGTAACTGCTGAATTGACCAGCTTTCTGAGATTACAGATATCAGAGACTTGTGCGAAAGAGCTTTTTTTTAATGTATATATTTTCCTTTTTCTAAGTAATTTCTTTCAATTAGAAAATAATACTTACATTTAAAAAGAAAACTAAGGTAGAAAAATACCAAAATATTGCTCTGTATAAAATAAAATACATTTAAAAAAAAACAACTCATAAACATTTCCACTCATTTTGTTGAAATTTTGTATTTCGTCAATTAAATTACATGGTTTAAAAGCACGTTAAAAAGTTATACCTTAAAATTAAACTTTTTCAACAATATTATAAATATTTTTTAAAAATTACTGTTGTAGGTTTCAATTAACAAATTGCCTATGAATAAACAAATTTGAAGAAATGAGCAAAAATTGTTGCCTTTTCATAAAATATTTCCTAGATACGAGGAAATATGTAAACTTAACATAAAGGGGTACAAATTTTTAACCATTTTTCTGACTATATAGACTGAAATAGAAAAAACAACGCAAGTGATAGATTTTGCAGAGAATTGGCCTAATAATTATTTTGTTTCTATTGTAAATGCTATGAAAGTTAAAATAGAATTTTTAAAAAAAACTGATGAACAAAAAATTTATTTTTGAAGAAAGTTTTTATAGAACAGGTAGCTTATGATACAAAAGTGACAAATATATAAAAATCTCAATTTTGAATTTTTTGTCGCTTACGTTGGTTTTTCTACTGCAGGACAAGGTAGGCTCCCAGGGTGCTGCTAGACATCATACTTTGACGCAAAATCTGGCGGAAAAAAATTTATGTTTATTCTCAGAACGTACGTTTTTTGCGACCCATTTCGAAATCTGATTGATATTTAGCACTGATTAAGTAACATATTTCAAGTAAAAGCTTAAAATTTTTAACTTTGCTATATGGTACGTGCAAGGGCGCCGGCAGAATAATATAAAAGGGGGTGCAACCCTCTAACAAACTACTCCCACCCCCTAAAAAAAGTATTCTGTTACATTTTGTTTTGTTATTACATATACTTCCATCTGTTAATTTTTTTCATCTATTTTAATCGAGAAAATTCTTATGAATCCCTCGAATATACATAGATTTAGTTATTCAGGCCACACCGTTTTATCCAGCTGTAACGGGGAGACAGTCAAAATTGGCCTAACTCTTCCAGCTACTACGTGCACTATTAAACGCACTTTTAGTACATTGCGAAGCATTAAAACATGGAATCGGTTTACAATGTCTCACGAGAGATTAAGTAGTTTGTACATGCTCAGTGTGCATAAGAAAAGATGACTCAGAATTCATTGAAAAAGTTATAAACAGATTTGGACAGCTGACAAGACGATTACAATTCTTGTTTGATTATAAAATTTTTTAATTGTTATGTATCAATAATTACTTAATTATTTGTTCTTGAATAAAAATATTTTGAATAAAAAAATTTTATAATCAAATTTTTTTCTGTATCTCTTTAATTGTTTAAAAAAAGCCAGGGGGGTGCAAGTGCACCCCCTTGCACCCCGCTGCCGGCGCCCTTGGGTACGTGATCACAAAAATAAAAGTTATTATCTTTTTAGGAAATGGTTAATATCTTTTTATGGAAAATTTGCTTTTAATATTTATCTAGAGCCAAAAATTATTATTCTATTGTTTTTAGTAATCATCCCATTATTGTCATTAGTTTACTTAATTATTTTTTTACAAAAATAAGTTAACACAAATGTTTCTATCTCATGTTAACTTTTCTTTTTTTCAAATACTAGCTGAATATTCGTTCTACGCATGGGCAACTCTTCAAGCGAAGATAAGATATATTTACGTGTGTATAAAACATTTGATAAGTGGTTTTATAATTCAACTTGCTGAATACCTGTTTTCAGAACTGTGTGAATAAAATAAAGTAAATTAATCAGATCTGACCAACACTACGAAGTCATGTTCAAAACTGAAAGGAATACACCTACACAATTAAAAAATTTAGTAGAAGAACCAGGTAAGTAGCACTCTCAAAGAATTTGGTATGCGAACTATTATATTGCCAATTTAACAGAAGACGGGATTAATAATTATTTGCCTTATTTTAGTTACCCCTGCCTAATTTGAAATAAAAATCAGGCAAGCATACTAAAAACTAATGTGGATTTTTTGTGTTAAGACTAAAGTGAGATCAAAAAAATTTCTCACATCAGAATGATATTTCGTTATGAGTATTCAAATTTTTTTTTAATCTTAGCTTTTATTATGTTATGAGAGAGAATTATTAAAAAAAAGAAACAACTGTGGTATTTAACAGAAAAGCAGCGTTGTCTGGTTAATCGAAAATAAGAAACTTCTAAATTTACATCCAAAAAGAATTCAGAAAGATCCATTAAATTGCTGCATTTGTGAATGAGTAGTTATAGTTCTTCTTTGTAATGAGTTTTATAAAGTTCATATTTTAACATTGGTTGGATTCGATGATTCAGTGTTCAAAATAAATAATTAAAAGCTGAACACGTGAAAAACATTTAATTAAGCGATCGGATTTTGACATACTAAGATGCAATCTAAATAGTTCAAGGTCTAAGTTTAAATTAGCAAATTGATTATTTGTGCGAAGACGATAAAAGTATTCTTCAGTTTCTAAATTCGACGCAAAAAATATACATACTTTATTTGAAAAAACATACTCGTTTTTGGTCGAATTCGAATGTTTGATTCTCAAAGTGTGGTAGCTGCAATCTAGAATATGTGGTTTCAATAGTTTTGTCAAGTTTGCAATCGAATGTTTGAATCCCTTACTCTTAATTTTTTTTGTGTATTTTGTTCTGCAACTGGAAATTTGAGCGAACTAAAAAGATATTTGTGAGCAGTTATAAGACTCATTCATCAAAAATAATTCCACGTAAAAAATAATTTTTTATACGTTAAATTAATACCGGAAATTTTAGTTTGTGACAGTTTATGTACATTTTCTTTATTCGATTCCTAATCTTAAGTTATTTTTCTTAAAACTTGACTAAAAAAAAATTTAATCGTAAGTACCTGAAAGACGAAACAAATGCTTTTAAAAATATATAATTGCGGTTAACAAATAAAACTATGAACTTAACCCTCTGAAAAAGATTTTTTTTTATAAGCAATAAGATGCGCAAATAAAATAATATATTTATACTTAATTATAGAAACTTGAAATTTCACAAATTATCTTTTTATTAATTAATTATTATTATGCTATTTTTTGCTTTGATGAAATTATTAATCTTAAATTCTAATTTTCGAAAAAGTCTTTTTGTAACTGCTTCAAAGACAAACCCAATGTTTTCAAAAATTACTTTAAAAGTTAAAATTAATTAAGTACGTTACTTTATTCAGTACATTTATAACCAAAATTATATACTTACCCTCAATTCTGGAAATTTTAGTTTTCAAATTTTATCTTTCTTTTCTTTCATCTTAATCCTAAATCGTTATTCTTTAATTCCATTTATGCATGTGTAGTGGTGAAACTGGTGCTTTAAAAAATTTATTTTTATAATGAAAAAACTTCAAACTTTATTCTTCGAAAAAACGAATTTTAAAAACGCAATTTTGAAGAAGTAGTGTAATTATATATTCACCCTCAATTTTGGAAATTTTGATTTTCAAATATTATCTTTCTTTTCTTTGAACTTAATCTTTATTATTCTGAAATTCTGATTTCTCTACTTGTAGAGAAGAAACTAGTGCTTTAAAAAGAAATAGAAAAAACNAAAAAAAAAAAAAAAAAAAAAAAAAAAAAAAAAAAAAAACTTTATTCTTTGAAAAAAGAATTTTTTTTAATACACAATTATATGTAGAAGTATAATTATATATTTAACCTCAATTCTAAAAATTTTAGTTTTAAAATATTAACTTCCTTTTTATTTGATCCGAATCCTAAATTTTTTTTTCTTAAATTCTAAATTATCGATTCGATCGATTGAGAGGAGAAACTGATGCTTTTGAAAAAATATTTTTGCCGTAAAAATAATTTTTAACTTTACTCTTTGAAAAAAGAATTTCTTAAATACACAGTTGTATGCACAAGTAAAATTATATATTTACTCTCAATTCTGGAAATTATAGTTTTCAAATATTATCTTTACTTTTTTTGATCCGGTTCTTAATTATTTCTGTAATTCTAATTTCTTTAATACCCAGTTTCTAGAGGTGAAACTAGTGTTTTTTTTTAAAAATATTTTTACAGTAAAAAAAAGTTATAACTTTACTCTTTAAAAAACATTTATTTTAAATTCACAATTATATGCCCAAACAAATTAAAAAACAAATTATTACCCTCAAATCGGGAAATTTTAGTTTTCAAACGTCATCTTTCTTTTATTTGATCCTAACCTATATTTTAAATTCTAAATTACTTATTTGTAGAGAAGAAACTGGTGCTTAAGAAAATATTTTCACAGTGAAGAAAAAGCTTCTTTATTCTTCAAAAAAAGATTTTTTTTTTTAAATTCACAATTTTTTTAAAGTTCAAGTAAAAATATATATTTAACCTCAATTCTAGAAATTATAGTTTTCAAATATTATCTTTCTTTTCTTTGATACTAATCCTAAATTCTTCTTCTGAAATTCTAAATTATCTATTTGCATAAGAAAAACTGAAGCTTTCTAAAAAGTAATTTTACTTTAAAAAAAACTTCAAACTTTATTCTTTGAAAAAAGATTTTTTTAAATGCATAATTATTTGTGCTAGTAAAATTATATATTTCCCTTATTGATAAAAATAAATTAATATTTATAAAAATAATATTAATAAAAATAAATTATATGACAATCATATAATTTATTTTTATTCTAATCCTTAATAATCCTACTAATGTATCTTCTAAATTCCTACTTAAATAGTTCAACGAACAGTTAAATAGGTCTTTCTAGTTCTTAGTATAGAAACGATTTTCGTAAAAGAAGCTATGCTTACCACCTTATCCCGAAGCAAGAATTTTAGAAGGTAGGGAGAGCACGTGTTTCTATGATGACAGGAGCTGGAGACTGAGATTCAATACAGGGAGTGTAGAAGTATTTACTTGAATTGACCCAGAATACACTGCGGCTTGTGACTTTTCCAAAAGTTTTTGGGAACTTTCTCCTGTTTCTTTTTTCCCCTTTTATTTCCTCTTACAAGTTTCTTTTTTCAATATTATATAGTATGAAAGAAACTTTAGAAAATGAAATATGAAGAAAACGAGAAAAACGGTGATGGAAATATGTTATTAAATTACAGGAAATGTTTCGACAGAAATTTTTTTAATTATAATAAAAGAAATTTAAAAAGTTTAAATTTTGTTCCTTTTTTAAAATAAAATCCTTTTTTTAATAGCCAGTTTTTTCCAGCCCATCGATCATATCTGGCAGGGTTAGATACTTGATTGAAATTTCCAGGATATGTTCTTTTTGAAAAACTATTAGACACATGTTTTCTTATTCTTGCAGGAAGTTTTTTTTCTTTCAAAGTTGGGGGGAAGGGTCAGAATTGAAAGATCCTCAGGAATTCTAAGAAAAACGCGTCAATTTCCATGTGGCAATAATTTTTGCAAAACTAGTGAACCACAGCAAAGATCAGTAATTTGTGTTCTACTACTTTCACACTAACTATTAAAACACAAATACTTTAATACAGTTGACTTTTGCCTCGAAGGTCAAAGGTTATTCAAAAATCTTCCAGAAAAAGGCTATTTTCTTAGATTTTGACGATCAGAATATAAATGTGCCAACAATGAACCCCAAATATATAAATTTTGGTAAATAAATACAAATGAGTATTACCTTTAAAAAAAAATCAAGATATGCGTCGTGTCAAGTGCACAATATAAACGTATATCCTTTTAAATAATTTTTGTTTTTATAATCAGATTTTTAAAAAACTAAATGCTAATCCTAATGGTTCAAAAGAGAGATTACTTATAGTAGACGATCAGGACTTGATTTACAAATTTGGAGCTGTATGGCACAGAATTGTAAGGGACCGAACCAAGGCCGTAGCCAGGATACTTTTTCGGGGGGGGGGGATATGGTAAGANCCCTGTTAGCCTTTCTTCTTTAGTAGCATTTCTTGTTGCTGTTTTTACGCGTTTAAGAGTAGAAAAAGTTCTTTCTGCAGTTGCTGTGGTGATTGGCAACGTAGCCAATATTGATAACAAGCAATAAATGTTTGGGAAAAAGATACTGTCACATTCATTGTTGAAAGTGCCGTATCTGGTCTAATAGGGGTTCCCGCAGGTTCCACTTTGATGCCCATACTTCCATTTCTCCCATGAGGTTTTCGATGTCAATGAAATCTGCGCAGATTCGGAAATTGCATAAATTAATATCAACGTTCACACAAAACTTAGGTAACACTTTATTGAGAGATGCAAGAATATCTTCGTGCTTCGAAAATCTTTCAATCAGTTGGGCAGCGAAATAATCTAAAAGAAGAAAGACTAAAAAGTTTGAATCCCAGAATTTCGGGGGGGGGGATTTGTCCCGACGCCCCCCCCCCCCCCGGCTACGGGCCTGGGCCGAACTAGTTATGACTTTAAGCCAAATTTGCATGTTTATGTGTAAATAGCTTTTAAATAAACATATGTAAATCAAGAACTGTTGGTACATTTGATCTTATATTTATTTTAATTTTTGTTTACTCATAATATAGGGAGAGTTACGTTTCGTCCGAGAATACAGGTGTATAACCTGAAAAAGTGCAGCAGGAAAGCTATTAAAGCTTAATATAAGTGCCGAAAGCGCGTGTGGCGTATCCATTTGTGTTAAGTGTTAGATAGCAATAAATTGCTAGACCCGAGGGTCCGGGGTTCCAGCCCCGCTAATGGTCAATATTTTGAAAACTATGCATCAGAATTTTTTATATAATTATTTTTCAATATTGTAAAGTAAAGGAAATATTCCTTTTCCTTAAATTACTATTATCCTTTTTTAAAAGAGCGAATAATAGCTAAAAAATGGAGAAATTTTTGCTCATATACTATGCATATAAATGACCCCATATCTCCCCTTAATATTAATCTATATTTTTTTATACTACTCGACATGATACTATATTATAACATAATATACAATCGTACAAAATGAAATAATTATAGACAAATTAGGGGGCACAATTTGTCCCTATTGAAAAAGTGCATGAAAGCACTGAACGATTAATATAAGTGGCAAAACCGTGTGTGCATGGTGTGGCCATTAGCGTTACGTGATAGGAAGCAACAAATTGCTACACCCGACGGTGTGGGTTCCAACCCCGTTAATGCTTAATATTTTAAAAATTATACTTCATATTTTTTTTAAAAATTTACTTTTCAATATTGTAACGTAAATAAAATATTCATTTTCCTTAAATTATTATTTTTCCTTCTTATAAGAGCGAATAATATCTTAAAAATGGAGAAATTTTTGCTCATATAAATGACCCCATATCTCCCCTTAATGTAAACCTATAATTTTCAAATTCAACCAGATATTATACTATACAATCGTACCAAAGGAAATTAATTATAGACAAATTAAGAGGCCCACGACGGGGCACATTGAAAAAGCGCGGGAAAGCACTTAAAGCTTAATATACATAGCCGTGCGTGGCGTGACCATTAGTGTAACGTGATAAGAACTAACAAATTGCTAGAGCCGAAGGTCCTGGGTTCGAACCCCGTTGATGGTCAATATTTTTTATTTCAATATTGTAAATGAAATATTCATTTTCTTTAAATTATTATTTTTCTTTTTTATAATAAAATAATTTGGCCAAAAATAACTTTGCTTATAGGTCATAATCAGCTTGAAATGGCCCTGAAAAACTGTAAAGAAAAACTCAGGATTAAGACAGATATTTTCATCGATTGAAAAAGAGTATACGAAGGTCACTCTGAAATTTTTGATAAAGTTATAGTACTTAAGAAATTGATTAAAGTTATACTTACGAAATCTGAAGCGAGTTTAAAGTAGTCTCCTCAATTATCAATGAACATTTGTTGACGAATTTTTCATAGGTTTCAAGCCTCACTCCTCTTATTTCTTGGAACGGATGAATGAAATACGTTTATAGCCATATCAATCTCTTCTTCAGGATGAAAACAACATACACGTAAGTTCTTTTTTTAGATTTAAAAAGAATTTAAAAAAAGCCAAAAGTCACATCTAGCTAAATTCATCTAACAAGGTGGATGTTTTATCACTTAAATGTGTTTCTGTTCAAGAAAATTAACTGTTAATATTGCTGAATGGGAAGATGCTAAGTCATGGTGTCAAACTATTTTTTTATGTATGTAATTCTTCAAGAATAATTTTATGCATAGCTGAGAATCCAGTTCCTTCTGTATCATTTGGTAGGTACAGTGATTATCATCTATTAACGTTTTCGGCCTACCTGTGTACTTTTTTATCCTGAAGAGAAATGTGACCTTGAAACAATTTTGTAAACCATCTGAACAACCACTAAGCTTGAAACTAAGTTATTAAAAAATCGTCTGCTATGCAAAATCTAAACTTTGTTACTTATCGTTTGCGCATATCTCAAAAATATCAAATCGATTGAAGTATTAAAAATATCAGATTTTCAGATACAGTGGGTAAAAAAAGTTTCCGTACGGTCGCTAAATTTAAGAATAAATGGGCATAATTTGTAAAGTATTGCATTTTTTCTTTAAATACTGTCTATATGTGTTTAGTATCAGTCTATGAAAAGAGATTTTTATAAATTTTCATTTTTACAAAACGAAAAAAGCATATTATTTGCAATATCTAAGGTAAATTGAAAATTGCAGTGCAAAAAAAGTTTCCGTACGTGTTATGCAAATTCTTTCTGACGTGTTTAAAACAGGCCCGCTGTAAATCTTTGACGTTAGAAAGTTAATCGTTAAAGTTGATCGTCTCAAAATGGAAATTCCCAGAGCTATTCGGGAATTAGTGATTAAATTGCGAAAAGATGGATTATCCATGAAAAGGATTAGTGCAATGACTAAAAAATCAAAGTCTACTGTGCAATATATCATTGAAAGGTATCGTAAACTTCATTCACTTGGGATAGAGATCGATCCGAGAGGCCGTCCAAATTAAATCGCGTGCATCATACGCCAAGTTCAAGAAAATCCACGAATTAGTGCACCGCGGTGGGCTGCTGATTTAATGGTTTGTTACAACATTAAAGTCTCAACTCAAACCGTGAGAAATGTCATTAAAAAAAGTGGTTATCATGGACGTGAGGCTCGGAAGAAACCCTATATAAGTTTGTGCAACAGGAAAAAGCGCCTCGAGTTTCAAAGAAGCATGTAAGCAAGCCATTATCTCTTTGGGAATCCATTTTTTTTTTAGTGATGAATCAAAATTTAACATTCATGGGTCAGATGGCCGAGTTATGGTGTGGAGAAAACCAAACAAACAAATGCTAACTAAGAATTTATGCGGAACTGTGAAGCACGGTGGTGGCGGTGTTATGGTGTGGGGGTGTATGAGTGCTTCTGGAGTAGCACATTTGCAATTCATCGAGGGAACTATGAATCGATTTGGATATCTGGATATTCTTAAACAAAATGTGTTATCCAGCGCAGAGAAACTATGTCTTGGAACTGGATTTATTTTTCAACAGGACAACGATCCTAACCACACCTCTAAGATTTGCCAAGAGTGGTGCCTTTACCATCTTAAACAACAACTTCATAGTCCTCCCCAGTCACCCGATTTAAACCCCATCGAACATTTGTGGGGAGAAATTGGCCGACAACTTAAAAAATATGACATAAAAAACAAAGTTGAACTCAAAAGTGCCATTAGTAGCATTTGGTGTAATATTTCTCCAGAAACAACAAAAAAACTTGTAGGGGTAATGCCAAAACGTCTAAGAGAGGTGATAAAGGCCAACGGAGGGCCCACTGATCATTAAATGCATTTTTGCAAATGTATTTTGCATTTTTGTAAACTTTTTTCGTGTGCTAGGGCACCGTACGGAGACTTTTTTGTTCCATGTTTACGACATTTTTTTGAGTTTTTAAGATTTATTATTTAATTTTGTCAGTATTATCATCCTTTTAATATGAATAAATATTAAATATTTGTTTTAACGCATTTTTAAGTTTTCATTTTTATCATTATGAATTTTGTGTGACAAATTAAACTTTGATTTGCATTCGTATCTGCGTACGGAGACTTTTTTTACCCACTGTATATATTTTACGACGCCCGGTGGCTGAGTGGTAGCGCTTCGCGCTGCCGTGCCAGAGGTCCTTGGTTCGATCCTTGGGCCGGGCAAGGCCGACTCAGCCTTTCATCCCTTCAGTGGGTCGATAAAATGAGTACCAAGCATGCTTGGGAACTAACACTGGGGGCTCCGCGTTCGGCTGACCACCTGACCGGAACATATGCTCCTGCACCCCAGAGCCCAAGGTCAAGAAAACTGAGATGGGCACAGTCGGCCTTGGCCCTCTTAATGGGCTGTCGCGCCACTGAGTTAGTTAGTATATATTTTACATCTAAGTTGAAAAATCTAGAAAGAGACACACTATCCCCTTCCGACTTTTTAGGTATACAGTAATTTTCAGTCTTTAGTATATGAATTCAGTTTTAAGTGAATCATGGAGTGCAAAAAATTGTAAAATATTCGAACAGTGATTAAAAATTGCGTCCTTTAGAGTTGTGTATACTTATATATAACGATGGCAGTCGGGTGAGATGGGCACATGATTTAAAAAGAGCGAATTAAACTTTATTTGACCATTATTACCAGAGAAGGAACACCCAAGTGACACAAAATTGAACACTATGTAATTTCCTCAAAAGACTATATTATGACACCAGTTTCAATAGAATCCCGGGGTGCAAAAATTCTTTATTTTCTTAATATTATGCATGCTCTGAAAATTTTGTTTTTTGGACTAAATCACATTTTAAAAGAAAAATCTTTAAAAAACTTTCAGGCAGATGTATTCATTTTTAGAAAGTATCGCGCCTATCTTTTATTATGAAACCAGTTTTATGTAAATTGCTTGGTGAAAAGTTTTTTTTGTTGTTAGAATTCGAAATTTACTGAAAATTGCGCATTTTCGAATTTTTTATAAAAAAAAATTATTTTAATGCATCTAGCAGATATGGATGTTATCGGAAAATATGACCAAATTTTGCATGTAATTTATCACTTGACCCTATTTTAATATAAAATTAAATGAAAAGGTTGACCATATTGTAATCCAGTTGTTTTATAAATGGGAAATAACTTAATGTAAGTGCAAGTAGGTAGTAACTACATTATGCTTTCAAAACTTGATCTGGAGCATCAATATATTGTACTAATAAATGTAATTGAGGTTGAATATTAAAGATTAAAGTTTGCAAACAATGAAGGCATAAACAGAAAATATAAATTTATAAACAAATTAGCTCAAAAACTTATATTTTGATAAGCTATACATAAAATTTTTATTGACATTTCTCAGAAAAAAAGTACACCTCAAGAGGAACTAAAGTTCAATATATTTTAAACAAAATGTATTTTTCATTCATAATAATCAATATAACTTTTCAAGTTTGTAAACCGAATATTGAAAGATTTAAGCTTTCAAATGTATTTAGTTTGGAAGCATTTTGTTAAAAACTTAACGAGTTCCGTTTACTTAATTGATTTTTAACTTTATATTCGCGCTTGTCCTTTCTCACTTAGAAAGCATATCAGTTTTCTTTTTTTCTCCAAATGAGTTAAATAATTACAGACAGTAATTTTAACGTACTTATGCTCTATATATTTTCGAAGTAAATGAATTTTTTAATCAGACATCTTACCACTTTAGTTTCTTATTATTTATTTAATACTCTAAATTCATCGACAAAAAGTAAATAAATTTTAAAAATCGGCTTGAATTTTTAAAAATATGTTTTTAAAAACTCAAAACATATTTTAACAAAACAAGAACCTTGTACATTGAAGACCTTACAGCTGGACAATGTTATAGACTAAGTCTGTCAGAAAAGAATTAAATATTTTTTCTTAGTTAAAGCTTAAAAAATTAATTTAAAAAAAATATAGATACGTATTTTTTAGGTTTGTAGCAAGAATATTAAATACTTTTAAAAATAAAAAGGAAACATAAAGCAGTTTTAACCTTTTTTAAATTTCAATAAAAAAAATAAATTTAGAATAAAAAATGCCACTAGGTCAAATATTTCATAGAGAAATATCTCATAGAGAAACAGGTTTTGACATTTTATATAGGACCCTTGTTCACCCCCAATTTGTCTACATTAATTTTGCAATTAGCTGTGGAGTATATAGATGTTGTTGCAATACATAAAGCCAATTCTCAAAACTACAGGTAGGTCAACGTTTGGGGAAAATACAAGCTATTTTATATAAAATACAATAGCATGCAGGATATAGGTTAAACAACATTACAATGGATAAGATTTATTGACACTCCCTTTCTTTTCATACAAAGTATGGTAATTTTAATAAAATATTTTTAATTACTGTTCTCAATATTCCATTTTATAAAGAAAGTGTCAGCACGCCCAAAATTCTTTACATTGAAAGATAAAATCAAAGTTATTGAGGAAATTATAATAAGAAATTAGCGCACGAAAATTAGCAACGCTATTTGGCAGTATGGAAAATAAAATGCACCATGTCTTTTTGCAGTTTGATACTACAGTAGGGAACCGATTATCCGGAACGATCGGGACCATCGCTATTCCGGATAACTGATTTTTCCGGTTTTCTGAATCGCTACAAAAAGTCGTTTTTTTTATTGTTAAACCCAAAAAAAAAAAAAATATTTGGAAATAATCTTGAAAAAACGAAGTAATACACTAATGATTATTTCCAAAATGATGGTAAGGTAAACATCTTTCAAAAAAGAAAGAAAAATCCTAAAATCTTATGAGGAAAAAAACATTTAAAAAAAAAAATGTCGGGAAAATTTATCGAATTTCATTCCGGTTTTTTGGTTTTCCGGTTTACTGATTTCCGGATAACGGGTTCTGCACTGTATTATTATTTTTTTTTTTACATATATTTTTAAGCAAATAATTCATTTATAATTCTGAATAGCAGCCACCTCTCAGCATCAGTCACACAAACACAGTCCTGTGAAGAGCGGTCGTTCAAAGGTTTTACTGTTGGAGTGGTTTGTTACCCATCTGAACACATTAAATTAACAGAATTAAGTTTCGGTCCTGTGTTGGCAACATATATTTTCTTTTCAGGCAACGTAAGTGACGTCATTTGTGCATATAATTACGGAATCTGAGTTAACACACTCACTAACTACTGTGCATGCTTTGCTAACATACACACTTAAAACATGAAAGAAAAAAAAAAAGCCTTTCTGAATAAAATACACATAGAAGACTACAAATACAGTTATATATACTTTATTTTACTGGATCTTTAGAAAGCAAAACAGATATTTTAAGAATTCAGTCAAATTTTATAACATTTAACTATACTTATACAGATGGAGAGACATATACTAACAAAAATAAAAACCCATTTTCTGCTGACCCTCTTATTGAAACAATGAACTCAGAGAACTAAAGATGGTTTCATAGAATAAAATTACACTGATCTAAAAGTAGAAAGATTTTTTTTTTTAAAATTAACACTGCCCCTCATGCAGAAAAGTATTTTTGAAATTGGTATTTGCTTTCTCAAATCTTATAATTCCAGTATATTTTATATGAACATGTCATACACTATTAATATACAAGGAAAATCTTTATACAATAAATCAGAGATGATGTTATGCAACATCAAAATTACAAGGCTATACAACTAATAACAAAACATCGTATACTTAGTACAATTTGACACTAATATTTATCAGAAATCATCATGCATTACCCTGATCTTATGAATGCTTTGTAATATTACAAAGCTATTATGACTTAATTATTTTAAGAACTTTTATTAGTTTCATACATGAAACTCGGAAACATGTCAGAGAATGGCACATAAAATAGGAAACAATAACACAATAAGGGAAAGTTATCATTAAATTGGGGTTAAATTTAAAAGTGAAATTTCAGAAATGAAATAAAAGAAAAAAATTTTGTAAGAAATTTTTTGAAAAAAAAAAACTATTAAGTGCAAATAACAGAATTTTACAAAATTAAGATTTCGTAAATATTTTTTGAAAAACTTAGCACAGCTTAGAACTAGCAGAAGATATTTCATTAAAATAACAAAAAAAAGTTTTTTTTAACTCTTTAAAAGCTGATGAAGTAATCCTGTAAAATAATATTCAACAAACTTAATTTCTCAGCTCTAAGTTTCCTTTTTCTAATTTAATACCAATGAAGATTAATTATAAAATATTCACAAAAGAAATATTAGGTAATCATTAAAGTATCTACTTGCAATTTCTAGTTAGTTACACATACCCATTCATTGTTTTTAGTTAGTTGCATAGCAGTTCTTGAATTTAACATATTTTTTAGGTACAAAAAATATTAATACTGTAAAAATTATTTTTACAGTATTAAATATTACCTTTTATGCCTACAAAAAGAGCATGCATTCATTTATAACATTCAGCAAATTGTTACAATTTTTGTGAAAAACTATAAGGTTTTTAAAATATCTGTAATCCTGTAACATATTTGGTAACATGGTCGCTTAGCAAATAACAATAAAAAATTGTATTAAAACATTATAAGCAGTCCATAGATATCATTATTACTTTGACAAGGAAGAGGGTTTGATATTTTATACCATTTTGAACTGATCCGTAACTGAAGCCCAGCTTTAAATGGATGACAACATTTATTAATTAGTGCAAAAATATCTAAAAAAATATGCAGGTTTTATCCAAAAAATTGCATAGTAAATTTTACATAGAAAATGGAAATAGTGAAATGTATTTATGCTCAATAAATAACAAATACAAATTTTACACAAAAGTTAAAATCTAAATTAATCAAAAACAGCTTGACGAAAAAAATTAAAATTATAGTTTCGAAAATCGCTCGATTTAATTGGACTCAAAAATAATTTTACTTTTTGTTACAGCTAATGTTTTTCAACAGCGTAAGAAATTTAAAAGAAAATTTTGTTCTCAAAAAGTAACTTCACAAAAGTTGCCTAAAGAGAGAATTTGACTACATATTTAAAAATTTAGAACAAAAATTTTGAGTCAGTATGTTTTTTTTTTTCCCCCAAATAAAAATGCTACTAAAGTATCTGCTTGAAATAAAATGCAGTTTTTGAAATACTTAACATTTAGTTTACTGATCATGATGGTGAATTAATATCATTGGGGGGGGGGGAATTTTAAACAAGTAATATTTTTATGTCCTTTGACATCAAGATAGGACACAGTAAAAAAATTAGAAATGAGTGCTGAAATTACAGTAATTTAAAAAATTAATACTGACGTATATAGACTATTTATGTTTTGATATTTAGATCATAAAAATCCACAAATAATGTTATGGTCAACCACCCAAAAAGTTATAACCATAATGAATGTATTTGGTCACCTTATACATTCAACAAATCCAAGTAACTGAACATAATTCAGATATGCTTTTAAAATTTCAATGTCAGTTTGGACCCATATACTGGGAAATTCTTTGTCAAATAAAATAATGTACAAAACAGAGGAATGTGAAAAGAACCTCCGTCAAGAAAACACTGGTATATACCCATGTCAATAACATTTTGAGTACATGAAATATAAGCAGGGATGCAAACTTGAAGCAATGCTTTTCTGTTACCCTATCCAAAACATGTGGAAATAAATATGAGGGAAGGATTAACGAATCATTGATTACACATTTCTTATCGCAAAAAGCAACAATCGATTTTGACATTTATCGAATTTTAATTTATCGAATTTTAATTTTTCAAGAATGTGCAAGTTTTTCAATCTTGGTTTTAAATTCCATAAATTAAAAGAAATAGCTAGTAATACAATCTTTCTTTTTCATCTTCATCTTTTAGACTTCCTATTCTTTATTGCCTTATATATTTTATTTTTAAAAGCATTGTTTTAATTTAGTTAAGTTTATAGAGAATTTTATAATTTCTTACAAATTTAGTTTATTTAACTTATTTTTAATACATTTTAGTCACCTGAAAATAATTTAAATTAAAAATATTTATCATTTTATTTATGTTTTTGTTTCAGATGAATTTTTTTTTTCCCAATCAAGAAATTTCAAGCAAATAAATATTCAGTAATTTCTTTTAGTTGTCCACAGTTATTAAATTACGCATTGAATTTGTCTTTTAAAACTTGCGAACCTACCAAGTACAACATTTGAATACAAATATTTTACAACACACGTTGCAAATAAATTTTAGAGTACCTGTGTACTAGCTTAATTCCACCCTGTAATTTTTTGTACTAAATAAGCATACATATTTGTTTGCAGATTAATTTCGAGAGTTAGTCTGCAAATAAGATAATGCATTTACAAATTGAAAAGCAACCAAAAATAAGAAATTCAAGCAGTTTTGCACACGTTTGACAGATGTTATTGAATATAGTTAGCATCCCTGTGTTAGATTAGACATGATTTAGCACAAAATAGGAATTTTACCTGACAAATCTCAAAATTTAAAGAAGAAATCTCATATGCGTATGACACTAATACTATAGGAGTATTAAAGACATGTTCATAAAAAAAAGTTCATATTTCTTTTTTTCCCTTTTTATCCAGATGACTTAAATTTTTTCTGATGAGAGCAATGAAATGAAAAATATCACATAAAAAATCCACAAATTGCATAATGCCTAGCAATGAAAAGCTATAGTACACATTTTTAAATGCATTAGAATCAAATGTGGAAAGGTAGGATTGCAAGCTACAATACTTTATACACACATTACCTATACAACAGAGAGAACTTGTTGACTAATTTATTTTCATTGGTGTGCATCAGAATCATGAATGTGATTGATAGAATTCAGCTTGCTTTCAAACAAATTTCCCGCTGCTCTGGCTCAACGTGTAAGCTCAGTTTATAACATCTTTATTGTCCTCTTATGTACACATTCCCATATCTCTCTCTCAATTTAGAAACTGAAGAGTCACATATTTAAGAGAAATAAAGTCACTCCTGAAGCCACAATAAAGAGTTTTTATGGAACTAAATCAATTTGTAATATTGCAATGCAAAAGGAGGCTTACAACACTCAAAACGGAGACGGTTTTTATGAAGTCGGTTCGCTCTTTGGCCTTTTAATTTCGACATTGTTTTCAGTGCTACTTTCGGAAACAGATGCATCCTCAAGCTCATTTGCAGTGGTAAACACTCGTTTAAATGTTTTTGCTACATTTTGAGATGAGTCTTTACTTAGGGGTTGAGGTGCTATAAATGATGCGGTACTATAGATATTTGATGCCTCATCTGAGTTTCCAGCCAAAGGCTGAGTCACCACTGTCAGCACATTCGAGGGAAATCCAGCCACACCAGATGAAGATGCTTGTACAATTACGGTAGCTTGAGAAACAGGTTGAGAATCGGAGTTTTGAACTTTTGGCCCACAAACCAAGATCCTTGGTTTAACTGCAGGAAGTAAATTCTGACTGCTTACTTTATCTATAGAAAAGAAAAAAAATTTAGCATTTAACAAAGAAAATCACAATAACTACCTTCTGCTGGCACGAGTTTCTAAAAAAGTAAAAGGAGGAAAATGTGTAAAAAAAAAGAATTGAGAAGGATATTCTGTGTGCAACAAATTTATTTACTACAGGGTTATCACAATTTGGAACATTCCTAACTTTTCTAGAATGATTTCATCACATTTTCCAGATATTTGTAACTAAACTGATGGGATATAATTTGTATTTATTTATTTTTCAATCCAGACTTATTCATGCATAGATAAAATATATTCTTACTCCAAGTTAATAGTGGGATTGTAAAATTACTGATATAAAATAATGAGCAAATTCAAACATATTCCTTTATTTAGCAGTTAAAAAGTTCCATACAATGGGGCCATTCTAAACTGCTCAAATTTTAGCCAGACATTTACATAAAAATTTTGTTACACTTTCAATGGTCAGACTGTTATGCTACCGGACTTCCAAAAAATTCCAGCCCTAATGCTAAATTCAAATTACCATTGAATGTATAATTGCTATTGAGCATGGAATGCATATGCTTTGCTTACTTAGGAACATGGGAACAGGTCCAAAATTTGGTGAGCTAACGATAGATGATATATAGCCAATAATAAAGCCAACCCTGCGTTTTTAATATTAAATAATCAGGATATAACATTTTTACCAAAAATGTTGTTAGAAGTTAATATAACCCTATAATCAAAGAAAAGTAGACTTTGATATTTGATTTGTCGCGACACTGAATTTAGGAGTAATACATTTGTATTGAAATGAAAAGTTATCTATTACATTGATAGTTACGAAAAGAATAAAAGCATTTATATTTGCTTTTTATAAAATGTGATAATAACAGGTTTGAGTTTCTACTGGTAAAAACCTTTAAAATACTATTAACCCATGTTTATTAACAGACATAATGGTTTATTATTTATTAATAACTGATCAGAATATTTGAAGCAAATATTAATATAATTATATTATAATATACATGTATATAAACACTACCCTACAATAATGGAAGAGACACTGAGTTTTGGACATTTTATAACTTTATATATGTTTAGGTCATGCGATTTAGAGTTTTGGGGACAGAATAAATTACGAAACATTACAAGTATTTATGAGCACCTTAAACCAGAAAATCAAACTATAAGCTTGTAACTTGTATCGATTATTTTAGTTGTCAATTAAAACAACTGCATAAAATTTTGTAAACATAGAATAAATATCTATGGAGTTGTGGTTATATTTATAAAAAACAAATTTTTTTGCGCTAAGTTATTTTTCCTTAACTTTATAAATATTCAATGGAATCAAAATGGAGTAAATGAATTACAAAATTACTTCTTTACTTGCTTTTTAAAAAAAAATTGTTAAAAACTGTGCAAGATATAAGTATTTAAGGTAGTTCTTTTATACTGTGCAGGGACAGAAAATTTTTTATTAACCTCATTTGGCAACTAATGAAAAAAGTTCGATTTGAATATCTTAAAAATTTAAAAAGTTTCAAGCCATTTTGTAAGTAGTTTTTGTACTTTTTAAAAGAAAGCTCAAAACGATATGGGGTTTTCTCCAAATTTTATTTTGTTTCATAAAACAAAATTTAATAAATGATACCTTACAATAAACGTCCAGAAATCAAAATCATACCAGCCAACTTTGGAGAAATAAAATAACGGAGATTTGACTAACATCATTTTTTGGGCTACAGTAAAGTTTTGATACATCATGCATAGTCATGTAAGTTAAAATTGGAAATAATATAAGAACTTACATTTAGCGAAGTAAAAAATATGTATATAAATCTTAATCTAAAGAAGATTTTTTTAAACTATTATTTATAATTACTTAAACTATAAACACTCAACATATTGCAGTACTGACAATAGCAACATCTCTTGAGGAATAAGAGAATTATTTTTGCCATCAGCGGATATTTTATTGCCAAAATTCTTCCTTTTTTTAAAATTTCTTCTACAAATTCGGAGAAATTTGAGAATATATAGGTAAACAGGAGATAGTTGTAAAATACAGGAGCCTTGGCAGGAATGCAAAATGTGATGGTATAAGGAAAGAAAACATTTTTATGGGAGATGATCCCCCACAATGCTGGTCTCATTTTTAAATTTCAGGAAAACTCCTGATTGTTTTGAGCTTTCTTTCGAATACTAAAACTATATATTTATAAAGTTATAGAAAAAAGGGGGGAAAAATAATTGCAAGTGGAAAAGAAAAATAAAGGTTTTTTTTTTTTTTTTTTTTTTTTTTAAAGTCCATATTTCCATAAATATTTACTCTAGGCTCACCGAATTTTACGTAGCTACTAAAAATAACAACCAAAGCAATTTAAACAAGTTACAAACTTATTGCTTGATTTTCTGGCATAGGGAGTTAAAAAGTATTTGTTTTCTTTCGTAATATATTGCCAGTCTCTCATGCTTCTGAGAACTATTTCTCGGGAAATTTAAAAAAATGTCAAAAACTCCATTATTGTAAGGGTAGTGAGAATGTATATAAGCAAGTAACAAACCATTGAACAAGTGATATGATGTAAGCTATCACCTAAATTGAAATTGTTAAACTAATTATTCACATAACCAGGTGAGGCAAATCTTTTCAATATTAAAAACTTAGAAAATTGATATATATCTATTAGATTTTCAATATGAGCCAATAACAATTAAAATCATATCTAATAATTACATTATGGTGAATTTCTATCACTGTATATCATAACTCTATTTCAGTTGTATTTATATACAGAAACTAGCTGAATAACCATAAAGCTCAAATAAGCAGAATTATGCAATTTTATGAAAAAAAATAATTAAATATTTTTTTTTTATTTTTTTACAAAAAATTGGAATATTTAAAAATATACAGTAGTAATAAGGGTATGGTAAAATAAGGATTTTTCTAAAAGGGTAAAATTCGCTAAAATTTTTTTTTTTTTACTTATTTCACTTCATACATTTTTAATTTCAAAATTTCACAAAATAATTATTTGTTCAAATGAATTAAAAGTATAAAAAATAATTTTTCGTGCAATAAGTTTTCAAAATTCAATAGAACAACAAAAATGAATATCAATGATACTAACTAACATAACTAATTTTTTGTATGTATGTTCATTAAAATGGAAATAAAATTTTGTCCCATTCTTGCAAGCTTACAATGCAAGCAATGATTTTGTACCCCAATTAAAACAAAAATATGCTATTTTTTAGTTATCAATATTTCGTTTTTGAAAATTATTATTGTGATTTAAGTAATATTTTTTATAGCATTATTTATTCAGTTTAAAGGGAAAGAATCATAAAATCAAAAATTATTATAGAGATGATTTACTAACACAGAAAACAACAAAGGCAATTTTTCAGAGCAAAAAATTTTTGCACAAAATCAAACAGAGATTAAGTTTATAATGTGGGGAAATGACTCTCACCAGAGTTTTCAATTTTTATGCCATTTGTATGTGAACCATTGATCAGAATCCCATTAGTAATGATAGTTTGCTCTGAAGCAGCTTGATTTGCAGAAACTGATCCTGGAGTAGTACTTACAACTTCAACAGTATGAATGCCTCCTGAAGATATTAACAATCTTATTATTTTTAAGAAAATTATATAAAATTCTAATTATTTTTTATCAAGAAATTTATATAAAAAAAGGTATGTACAATAATATCATAGCTGCCAACCTTAGGAACACTATATGCGATAAAATTATACGTACCAATTACGAGCGTAAGACAAAAGTTTAAATAATAACATTAATAGACATATATTTAAATACCTTATGTAAATTAGTAAAACAAAACTATAAACACTATCTTTTGCGGGAAATTTATAATACTAATATTTCATAATTAGGAATACCGGTATAATAATTTAAAAACAACCATTACCTATTAATACATAATTATTCTTTTCCAAATTATAAAACACAGGTAAATAATAATCTACGTCATAAACAAATATTTCTGATGCAAGTGTTTAAATACTACAATATATTTTTTTTAAAAAAACTAATAACAGTTGTTTCAGATTAAATTTAGTGAAATGATCAGCAATAGATATTGGAATAGTATTTTCCAATAAAAAGGTACTAAAAATTACTTAAGCACAATAATCACAGAAACGCACTTGCAGTGATCAGAAAAAGAAACTGGTTGAAAAGCAAAAATAACAGCAATTTGACAAAAATCCAGATTTTTTTTAAAATATCAGATTTTCAGATTTGATTTAATAATTAAGAACAAATCCGAAAAATTCTGAACAGTTGGCAGCTATGTAATATGTATTCATTTTTGATTTTTATAATCCTTTTTTAGCTTGAAATTTTAAAAAATTATATTTTTTAGGTAAAGCCAACATTTAGGGTCATTGAGATTAAATGTTGGTTTTCCAGAAAGTAAGGGAAAATTTTAAAAAATGTACGCTTTTAACAATAAAACAGAACTTTATTAAACTTACACATAATATTAATAAATATTAGTAATTTTTTCTTGTATGATACATTTCAATGGATGAAATGAAAGTTTAAAATAAACTATCTCCGGTTACATTGAAAATTATCTGGTGCAGCAAGCTAGTGTGTAAAATAAGAAATTTAAAAAAAATAAAATTACAGGCACAAGAGATGGATATATTTTAACCTATATGATGCATTACTTTTTTGAACGATCCAGCCCGGAAATATCAAGGGCAGGAGAAATAAAAGACAAAAGTTCACCCCGTGATTTTGACGTGAGCGTGAGGAGTTTAACTGGTGAATTATGACAAGTTTGTTATTATTAAAGAAAGAGAAAGTGCAAGAAGTTTTTCAGGATTTATATTTAGAAGCAAATAAAAAAGTACGTAAATTCATAACAAAAATGACAGAATTTTTTTTTAAAATTTTGATTTTACTCCTTTTAAACTTATATAAAAATTGCTTGATTTCAGTCTTCATTTGAACTTAAAAATTACGCTTAAAAAGTTTTTCTTAAAAAAGCAGCCCTTTGTTTTATTACCTCTTGTGCCCAGTGCTATTACAGAAATTATCAAATGTTGTTCTGAATGGGAATGAATGGGTAACCATTCATATGAAATTGTTTGCAAGTTATACATACCCAAAAAGTTCATGACAAATAGATACAATAAAAAGGCAAACCAATAATTTATAAAGCTCAGTAATAATATTTAATTGCCATCAAACTCAAAAGGAAATATTACTTATAATTTAATAGCATTGAAAAAATAAAATGGAATACATTTTATGCAATATTTCAATATTGTGTAAAAATAAATAACAAAAGAAAGTGAAGTATAACAATTTATAATATATTAGGGGGGAAAAATGTTATTAATTACGTTTCCCAACTCGCAATTAAAAATACTAGAGGAAAATATTTTGAAATGGTAAATATTTAAAATATTAAAATAATAATACATTAGTGTAAACATACAATCTATTTTAGAATAAATATGTTTTAAACATATCCATATATTGAAAAAAAATCTACTTTTTCGTAAATTTATTTAGAAATAATATCCAATTAATTTGTAATTTTACTTGATTTGAGAAACGTGTTTAAGAATAAATTGAGAAAACCTTTATAAAAAGTTTATATATTTTTTAGCATGAAGCTTTATCTTGTTTAATATTAAAACATTTCTTACAAAAATACTTCAATTTTCAAGTTTGTCTGTCCACATTAACTTACGAAAAGATAAATTGGGCTTTTGATATAAAATACACGAGACTGTTTAGTTTCTTTTTTGTCATTGGGGAGATTTTATTGGGTATTAAATCATGCACATTTCTTTTATTTTATACAACTATAAATATGATTTTTATTATACGACACACAGAAAAAATATAGTTAAAATTATCAAAACTATTGATTATTTTTTCTAAATTTATGGTAGATTACAACTATTCAGTTTATATTACAAGTAATAACTATGAGTTGTTAATTATTACAAGCAATAACTATGAGTTGATATCTAAACATTGATTTGAATTGAATAAAAAAAAAAAGTAGTCGCCAATAATTGTCTAATCTCAATTTACAAAATTTATTTTAAATTCTCAATATTTGTATCAATTTCAATGTACTTATATATGCAGGGAAGCAGGATAAGTTTGATCGTGCAAACAAGGTTTTGGAGAAAATTTTGGCAATAATGAAAAATTCCTAAAAAATTTTTATTATTAAAAAACATTTTATATCAATTTGTGTATTTATTAGTTTGAATTCTTAAAATTTATGGAGACCTTAAATTTAATTTCATAAATTATTACTACATCAATATATTTTAATTCCTAATATTTTTCACACATATGCTTGTTTATTCAAGCATAATGTAAAATAAAAAAAATTCTTACATAAACTTAACTTTCTAAAAACATTATGGGGAAAAAAATAAGAAAAAGCTTAAAAAAAGCATTTTTTTTTTATCTAAAGTAAAACTTTGTTTTGAGGAAATATTAGGATCTAAGAATTTTTTGCACTCTTGCTTATATGTACATGAATATTTCTAAAAAATCAAGACTAATACACTCCTGATAAGTAAACTAATTATAATTTACAAAAAATATAAACGTTTGCTAATGAGTTAATAATTTTTATCAATCAATAAAGATTTTAATTAAACTACTATAGATACTTAGTACAGTTATTAGAATAAATTTCTTTATTACATTTTATTATGTTATAATAGTTTTAGTACATCTACATTTTAGTCTATGCAGCTCAGCATCAATCGAAAGATTAGCTTCGAATTTCTAATCTAATTCGGTCTAACTCAAATAAAATAAAACTGAAAAATCAACTTGGAGTACAGAGGACTTCAAAAGTACTTTTTTGTAATCGCATGCTTCAAGGAAAGGAGGAGTCAAAATGTGAATAAATGAAAATTTATTTTACGTATAATGAATAAGATTATTATTAAGATTATTATAAGATTATTTTTATAAGATTGTTTTTTTACTTTTATTTAATGAATTAAGAGATTGGATAAATTATAATTTTATGCATTTTTATTTATAAATATTTAATATTGTCTACACTAAAATTTGGGTTTTTGACAGAAGTTATTCTTATACCTAAATTATAGATTTTTGACAACTGTCAAAAATTGTATAAAAACTATATAAAATTAATAAAGGCATAAATTTTGTTACATAATTAATAGGTTCACCAGAAGGAGAAGGAGTTATACGAGCACACTGACTTTTGGCTATGTTCTCAACTCCTCCTAGTCATGAAATTACAATAGATTATATTGATCAAATTACCATCAAAATATTATTACGTCAAAAGTACACAGATATTAATCTTGATATGCTAATATTTTACTTTGTTTGAAATTTACAAATAAAAAACTGGTAAAACAAAATAAAAATACAACATAATATTAGGGATGTAACGAATAGTAATTTATCTGAAAAGCAATTTTTTTACAAAATAATAATAATAATTTTAATATCTAAATAAGTTCTTTAAATTATTTTTAAAAAAGATTCAAAACTTAGCTAAATTATTGGGATAGGGTAAAGGGAAAAAACTGTATAATAAAGAAATATTTAAGATAATTAAAAAACTAACTAACAGTTAAAAAAAAAAAAAAAAAACTAAACTTGCAAATTTTAAAAAAACAAATCAAAATTCTCTTATTTCTTCCAACAAAACTTAAGTGCGAAAAATAATATTTTGCATAGAACATTACAAAAAATATTATCTATCAGAAAGGCTTTCAAGGAAAAATTCAAAGCTAAAAACCTCAGTTAAACTTTTTCACAATAGAAAAAAAAGTGACGATAAAAGAATAAAGTTTATTAAAGACGCTCTTTAAAAATACCGATTATAATTACAAAATTTTTTTTTAAAAAAACGGAAAAAAATACTCCCAAGTTCATGAAACAAAACTTTAGCATTACAAATTCCAGATTTCAGAAATGCTTAGTTAAAAAGCTGCACCATAAGAAAAACAACAAAAACAAAAACATACATTCTCAATTCTTAACTTGTCTGAATATAATTTTAAAAATTAGCAGAAGACTCGTGTTTTATTATACAGTAATCCAGTTTTAATTCTTCAAATTTTGCTTTTCTATTTGTTTAGCATAAATTTGAAAACTGTGTGCAAATTTCAGAGCTTAACAAATGTGTGTAAAAATTACATTGAATATTTAAGAAAAAAAAAATCTTTTTAGATTATTCTTCATTAAATTAATTCAAAAAAACTTTCTTTAAAAAATTCTTTTTCTAAAAAAAAACAGTTAGCCGAATATTTGGTAGAACATACAACCAACAGAACATTTGGCAAAATGGCCGAATACCGAATAGTGACCAAAGATTCGTTACATACCAAATTTGGCTATAATGTTAATATTTTATTCTATTTCAAACTTACAAATCAGAAAATAGTAAAACATAACAGTAATAATAAATAGAAAATAGTAATGCTAAAAAATAAAATAAGAAAAATATTAACATTATCTAATATTAACAATATTAACATGTAAGGTATTAATAAAAAGGTCAAAAAAATTTACCAGAAGGAGAACCAGGAGTTGTGTGAGCAATTTGAATGTCGTGAGATAAAGCTACATAAGCAGGTTGAGTGATTACGGCAGGTGTAGGCTGGGCAATAATATCAGATGAAGGGTCAACGACCATACTTTCAGGTGTGGGACTGGGTTCTCTTGATAATGAATCAGGTGTGACTAAACCACTTATGCCGCTATGACTTGGTGATGCTGGTGCAGATCTAAATAGTAGATACATAAAATTGAATGAAAATTTCAAATGACGTTAAGGTAAAGAATAAAAGAAAAAAAAACATTTACCAAGGTTAGAACATAAAAAACAACAAAAATCAGATTTGATTTAAATCATGTATTTTATTTAGATCAAATTTTCTTTATTTTTATTTATTTCATAGCCAAATTATCCAATAAAATGTATTAAAAGTATAGTATGAATTAACAATATTATTATAAAATGCATTAAAAATATGCGCAGGGTGCATAGCTAAATTTTTCAACAAAACATAAGCACCTTTTAAGCACTCAAAAAATATCATAATTAGGTTTTGAGCGCTAATAAAAAATTTTCTTCCTATTGATGTAAGTTCTTCATATATTAACAAAATGCAAAAAAATTAGTTTCTGATAAAGAACTCTTTTCTTAATTATATCAGCCATCATAAAAACAATTCATGCACAATTTTAAGTATATTCAATATCGAGTGGCTCATTCTATTTTTTAAATTAACAATTACTTTACTTGGTTATGTAACAAAAATTTTAAAGATAGTAAAGAAAAAAATCTCAGTTTGGAAAAGGAAAAATTAAAGCACTTTTTAAAAACTTCCAATGAAAAAAAAAGCACCTTTTAGGGCTTTTAAAAAATTAAAATCGAAAATAAGCAATTTTTAAAAATGCTACGCAATCTGTATTATATAAAAACAATACAGCTGAAATAGTTGATATTTTCTAACTAAAATAGTTTCAAAAATTACTTTATATTATTGCAAACTAACCACTGAATAAATAAAATCGTGGTTATTTTTTTCCTCAAGCTAAACATCCTAAAACTTTAAAGACAGGGAAGCAATTTTGACTGTTACATATCCAATGAAGAGTATAATAGCTCAGATCAGAATACATCAAACGAAAAAAAATTATTGTAAGTTTCTCTGGGCAGAACAAGTCTTTCATCAATATTGGTGAACACTAACTAGGTATTTAATGTGTTTTAGAAGTGCTCCAAGTATTCAAATAAACACATAGCTACCAACTTGTTAAAAACAAGAATAGGAACACAAAGCATTATATGCCAATCAGGAGAAATTGTGACATTAAGTATAAAATCCAAGTGCCCAAAAAATCAACAACGAGACATCAATTTACTTACCATACATATTATAAATTTAGCATAATTTTTTGAACTAACATGTTTAATTAAATTACTTACTAATAAAGAATATCACACCCTTATAGTAATTTATTCAAAAAAAAACTTACTTCTTACAAGAATCGCAACATATTTTAAACACGTGAAAATACAAATTGTGATAATAAATTTTGAAATCGTGTTAAATATGATGTATAATCTTTAGATCACGTTAATATGAATTGCAACGTAGTTTTTAAATCACATATAAATATGAAAATTGATGTTTGATATTACAACCGATTAAATACGAATCGAGACGATGGATTTTTACTCTCATGAATGAGAATAGCGATATTGGGTTTTAATAACGCATAAATACAAATTATGATATAAGATTTTTAAATTGCATGAATAGAAATCATGGTGTACTTATTAAATTGAGTGAATATGAATTGCAACATGCAACTTTTTAACCAGGTAAATCCGAAAATCGATGATTGATATTAAAATTGCATAAATAAGATTTCTGCGATATGTGATACTCGCATAAGAATCCTATTCCCTGCTTCTAGTTTTTAGTCCTGTCCTGGGTTGAAAGAGGATCAGTATGAGGAGTGAAAAGGCACTAGAATACCGAAAATTATTATATTTGACCTTAAATTGTATAATAAATTTTGACCTAAAATCATATTTTTGGAACAAGGCTAAAAAATAAAAACAAATACGATTTAATCAGAACAGTTGTGAAACTCTTCCGATGTTGTCGATGTAAACATAAAACTAAATAGGTATAATTGAAATATGTTAATTCCCAGAAAATTATTTTACACACAGCTAATGGAAAATTATAATTCAACAATTTAACATCACTCATATATGCATTTTTATTTATTTATTAATCTATTTTGAAACATAATTACTAATAAATATAATTTACCAATTTAATAAATATAATTTACCAATTTAATAAATATAATTTACCCATTTAATATTTCCAGGGATAAAACTTCAATATATTTAATTACAATAGAAAACATCAGTTTCTAAGAATGAAGTGTAAAACATCACCTTAACTTCATGCAAGATAAAAATAGACCAGAAGTAACAAAAAAATATATTAACAGAGATATATATAAGGTACCCGAAATAGTATATAAGATAGATATTTTCTCTTTCTTTGCATCTTAAGAAGCTGCATCTTTTGCAATTTTTTAAAAAAAAGGAACATTCATTCAACTGAACAGAATTATACATAAAATGTATAACATATTAAAGTTTCAGTAAAAAAAAAAAAATCCAAATTTATAAATAGATTTTGCTTTAACAATTTACACAAATAACAATTTACAAAAATTCTTTCCATCTCATTTAAACCAAAAATTAAGTGCATATGTTTTTTATGAAATTTTTTATTGTTTATCTAAGAAATTACCTAGAAGACAGGCCTCCATAAGGTGCCCTAAAACAAGGCACACCTCTTTGCCGCCTTCGCCTAAATGCCTGTTCGATCAGTTTTGATTCTGACTGAGAGTCAATCTTCCAAAAACTTCCTTTACCGGGTTCTTCTTGAGGTCTTGGAACTTTCACAAAATGTCGATTAAGTGACAAATTATGACGAATAGAGTTCTAAAATTAATGAAATACTCAATCAGAATTACACACACATATATTATAAATATATACATATACATAAACTAAACTCAGTGGCGTGACAGCCCTAGAGGGCCATGGCCTACTGTGCCCATCTCAGTTTTCTTGACCTTGGGCTCTGGGGTGCAGGAGCAGATGTTCCGGTCAGGTGGTCAGCCGAACGCGGAACCCCCAGTGTTTAGTTCCCAAGCATGCTTGGTACTCATTTATCGACCCACTGAAGGGATGAAACGCTGAGTCAATCTTGCCTGGCCCCGAGGATCGAACCAGGGACGACAGCGCTAAGCTCTACCGCTCAGCCACCGGGCGTCATATATATACATACACATACATACATATATAACATAATACAGGACATTTAAATTAATTTAAATATTCAAAAAATTTGAGGAAAAACTTAGTATGTATTCAGACCTTGTAATTCCTTATGTATTTAGAGAGTGAGTCTGAGGACAGTGAATTTATCATCTCTCAGTTGGAAAAAAACTTTAACCTAACATTTTTTACCTAATTTTAATATCTATTTTATGCAGATATTTAACGTAAACACTGTAATGCAATACATTTAATAAATATGTTATCACAGTATGGGTGCACAACCTGCAGCCCGCCGACTGCTGATGTGCGGCCAGAGAGAGCTTCTGAAGATATTTATTTCTTCTTTTGAAAAATGAAAAAATTTTGAATCTGAAAGTTGAGTTTTGACTCCTTGATGAGCTCAATTTGCACTAATTTTATTGTAAATCTTGACTTATAGTAAAACTTATTTCTCGATTGCTTTTTCAACTGTTATTACTAGAAAATTCCATAGTTTTAAAAAATCCAGTATTTTTGCCGATTTTATTATAAATCCAAGTGATGTTTCTAGTGTTTGTTTGTTTTTTTAGCATTTATAACTACAAATTTCCATGCAGCTTTTAAAATCCTGATAAATTTATTATGATATTACGACTCGTGTTACAGATCACGCATTTAATTTATCACGTTTTGATGAGCTTCATTTTTGCCAATTTCATCATAAATCTAAATTATACTTTTTTAAAGCAGTTATATCTACACTTTAGCACGTAACTTCGAAAATCCCGTATTTTCACTACAATATTATTACCAAAAGTGAGTTTCAAATCGCACATTTAAATAATAAATTTTTGAAGCGTTTTGCTTTTACCAATTTCATTTAAAATACAAGTTCTTTTCAATAAATTTTTTTCGACAGTTTTTGTGATGCATTCCCACGTGGTTACAAAAATTCTGAATTTTATTACGACTTGTGAATTTTAAATAAAGCTTTTAAATAACTACTTAATAGAGCACTTTATCTGTGCTGATTTTATTGTTTATGCAAGCAATCTTAATAGTAATAATATAGTATAATATCAAATAAATGTTGTATCTTAATATATACTATAAGTTTCATTTTAATTTTTGCTGAAACCTTATAAATTTCCTTTAATTAAAATATTTATTAATTAAAATATTCAAATTTATATTACTCATTAAAATATGTACTTAGTTTTTTCAGACTTTTATTCTGTGAACATAATAGTTCTTTTTTCTTGTTAAGAGTTTATAGCATTTCTTTCTCCCAAACATGTATGTATGTATAAATATATATATTGATAAATCAATTATTGATAAAAAAAGAAAAAACCTTAAAAAGTATAAGTTTTTTTTAATTTTTTAATTTCTAATAATTAAAAGCATTTAATTTTCTGAAAATATGTTACTAAGCTGAGAAAAATATTTAGTGCTTAGAACATCACTTTTAAGATAAAGAATTATCATATTTGCAATATGACTAAATATGTATGCAACCCTTCACTTAAAAAGGTTGTGCACCCCCATTATCACAGCGTATTTTTTAAGATAAGACTTGGATGTATTGCAGAAAAAACAGGAGATCAATGGATGGGACTTCACATATTTCACCGCCAATAGGTCAAGCAAAAAACTGCTTGCTGACAAAAATATTTCGCATTTTCGAACTTAGGATAGAACCAGTATCAATTATTAGAAATTTTAAAAAAAAAGCTTTTTTTTTTGGTGTCAGAAATTACGAGAAAAAAAAATCAGACAGAGAATCAAGGGTAACTAAATAAAGTAAAATTAAATTACTTACAAATAAAGAATTAAAGCGCAAGTAATTTAAGAAAACTATGAGCTTTTAGAAGAAGTGCAAGATTGGATTTTAGAATTGTGAGAATATGAATTGCGATATTGAATTTTAAAATCTCAAGAATACTAATTATGATACATGATTTTTAGATCGCGTCCATACTATACATGAGCATATACCACTATGCATGCTTTTCAACCACGTATAAATACAAAAATTATTGTTTAACAATACAAGCCCATAAATACGAATTTCGATTTTGGTTACAGAAATGCTAAAAACAAATTATGATGTTAGATTTTTTAAATCAGGTGAAAAAAAATTACGACATGTAACTTTATAAATTAGATGAAGGAGAAAAACAATGTCTGATATAAGATTGGAAGATAAGATTTTGGATTTTTTAAAACAATATTTTTAGCCCTTAACTGAAATTAACCAAACCATTTGGAAGTATTTTATAGCATTTAACTGTTATATTTAACTATTAATGTTTACAATAAATAATACAAAATATTCACTCTTGCTCTTTAAATACACTTACAAAATAACAACAACAAAAAAAGTAAAAGAACTAAATACCTTCAGTATGCTTTTTTAAAACTTCACTATTAAACTTTAACGCAAATAAACAATCAACATTTATATTTTATTATGGTAATCTATATTATATAAAACGCTAATATGTATGTATCAATTAAACCGATGATACCTCGCGTTCGCAACAAACAGTTTTCATTAATAATAATCAAAAATTGCTTTGCAAATTACAAAAATTGCTTTACACAAATGGCATGGGTTGCATATAAAACAGCAAAAGTCTTAATAATAAATAAAGCATACACTATTTAATAAAGCATACAACATAATTGAGCTTTAAGTTTAATAACATCATAGTGTGTAGTTGTCCTAAAATTTGTTTTCCCTGATAAAAAATATTTTGTCACTATTTGACATTTATTTCATAGTTTGCTGTCCAGAGTTAGTTTTTCGTGTGTATTCAGAACATTCCATTTTCTATGAATACTAATGCAGTTCCAAAAACAATCATGGATTTTCCACTTAATATCTTTTTATTTAAATTAATAATTTGTACAGAAAATTACTTCACAATACAAATGCTAAAACGCACATTTACTGTTTTTTTCTTTCAAAATTATTGAAACCCCATTTTAAAGTGATTTATTAGTGAAATCATGAACTCAATTGCAAATTTTTAATAAATATTGGGATGAAAGAATATTTAATAATTGAAACTGAATATTTTTTAATGCAAAAGTACAATTAAAATTTCTTAATTACTTATCTTAAACTTACTTTTCTTAATTACTTATCTTAATTACTTATCTGTTATGAATTGCTTTTTTTAAAACTAAATTGGTACATTGGTAATGGTCTTTTCTTTAGATCAATGGGAGGCCTGCAATTTGCTAAATATAATGCAGCATTAAGTAAAATGAAATAAAATAAATATTTGTGAAGGAATTTCCAGGGTTGGCAAAAATCATGATTCCCTTTTTTAAAAAAAATTTAATTTAATTTAAATCTTTTTTTTCTACATATTACCAACCAAAGCATCTAATAAATTATTTTGATAATACTTAACACTTAAAAAAAACATTACAGCTGAAAAAGTGCATATTTCTTATTAAGATTAATTCTTATTAAAATTATTATTTAATTATTAAAAACTAATAAATAAAGTCATAATTATATTTTTTCAATTCAAAAGTTTTCAAATAGATAACTAATGAAGATTAAATTAGTTTAGCTTAGACACCATTGTTGAAAGAAAAAAAAAAGTTATTTTGGGTAGCACAAGTCTTGATATACAGGTGCTACATATACGAGCTGCATTTAAATAATTCTGCATTAAAATTCAATGAGCATAATTGAAATATGTTTTTTGGCCAAAAGCTATTTCACATACATTTGATGGAAAACTATAAATAGTCAATTTTTTTCAGTTTATTTTTAATCTATTCTGAAATATAATACTTTAACTACATATCCTTTTCATTACTTTTTAGTAAATAACATTATTGTAAAAAGACTTTTACAAAATCCTACCCAAAATGTTATTAATTACATAGTTTAAAAAAAAATCAGTATGTCAAAATAATAGTTTTTTTAAAAAGAAATCAATGCCTTTTTTATGAAATAATGAAAAGAATATATGCATGTGACTATAATATATTATACATGCATACCTCTTACATTATTTCTTAGTAAAATACCATCATTATCACTGAAATCAAGTTTAAAAGAATCATACCCTAAAGGATGAATTCATTAATTATATTATTTAAAAATATTTATATAATTAAATTAAGAATTTTTTGTAAAAAAATTTAGCTTTTTATTAATGGTTTTTTTTTAAAAAAAAAAATAAAATGATTCAAATTGCAATTTTAATCATAATTTAAAACAAGTTATTTAAATCATACTAATTCTAATGAATTCTGGATATTTTTTGCCAGAGTTGTTTTTAAATATAAAAAATTTATTTTAAATATTAAAAAAATATTTTAAAAATATTAAAAAAATGAATAAATCATATTAATACAATTTTGCCTACACTGATAACAGAAGAAAATTCAAAACATGAACAGAAAAGTAAATAACTTACACAATTATAGTGCGGCTTTCAGGAGAACTCCTCCAGACACCTGTCTCGCGCCATGGCGGGTACTATAGTTATGAGGAAAGGTGACTTCGAATAGGGGTGCGGGGTGAATAGTTTTGCCTTAATCTTAGCGTAGATCGTCGTGAGTAAACCAATAGACACCTTCTTTCCTCCATTTCACTCCCGTTAAAAATGTGCTCTCGCTTATTACCATAGCAGCAGGCAGCCCCAGGCTTTCAGTCTGGAGGAGTTCCCCTCAAAGCTGCACTATACTTCATTTCCATTTATGCTTTTGATCGTAACAAGCATAAGCGTCTTTAACAAGATAAATAAAGAAGTTTTTCTAATTTTTTATAGGATCTTATCAATATCAGAAAATTAATTTGGTGATGCTGTTTGTTAGATTTTCACACACATCAATTTATTATTGATATATTTGTAGGAAAACTATGATATCTAAACATTTAAAAAATTATATATTTATGTTTATTTATGGAAAGAAAAAAAAAACAGATTTCCTGAACTTAAAGGAGAATTTTTATGAGAAAATTTAATATTATTTCATTTGTTTCCTAACTTAAACTATTTATTTAAATAAAATTACATTTTACTAAAAAAAAGTTTAGTTTTTAAAAATAAAAAAAAACGCATTTGGTTTAAACCAATTAACCCTGGTTTGATATCAAAAATCATGTGAATAAAAATCATGATATTAGCAAATTCTGGCGCGGTTTCAAATATTCAAAATAACGAAAATCCGCAAAACCAAAAGAAACCAATTGGCGAATTTATGCCGACAGAGGAAGGATCACATGTATGTAAATGCTGCTGAGATACAAAGAATTCCGCAACATTGTAGAAAAAATCGCATGCTTTTAGGTTTTAAACTAAGAAGGACGATAAAAAAAAAAACAGAATTCCAGGGCTCACCTAGAATACAATCACCACAGGAATAAAAAAAAATGAACATTTTAGTGTCCGCATGAAAAAAAATATAATAGAAAGGAAATTACCTTTAATATAAAAAATTTACACCTCTACACATGATAAATTACAACTATTGAATCACTCTGATATCTCTTTTGTGAAAGTAAATGTTTACCTGCCATCCACGATCAGCAGTTCTGTAGAAAGGGTAATTTTTCGTTATGTAAGAATATATTTCATTTAGAGTCAATTGTCGGTCTTGGGCAGAAGATATAGCTTGCACAATCAACTGGGCATAGGAAAATGGGGGTTTCTGATCATCTCTGGCTCCAACAGGTTCTGAAGTCACAACAGTTTCTGTAACTAAAGACACTTGTGGGTTGGGAATATGCGCAACAATGTTCGAGGGAGGCACAGACTCTACTTTCACTTTCTTTTCTTCTGAAGAGGAAGCAGCAACAGCATAGACAGCAGCAATCTGCAAATCATTGCCGAAGGTGCGACGAGATCCACCCCGTGGACTTGTAGGACAAGAATTGGCAGCACTAAATAGAAAATGATTCAGTTACAAAAGTGTTTTAAAAATAGATAATACAAATACAGTGGTCTTTTATTAATGTAACTATACTTTAACACGTTCGCTGCCACCGACGCACTACAGCGTCAGCACCTCCTGGTATGCTCGATCAACTATGATAAGTTATATGCTCTGTGTTTAGTGTCGCTTTGGAAGTTGAAAGGAGAGGTTGTTTCGGCACGTAGTGAAGCATTATTTTTTTATTTTTTGTGGTTGGTTTTCAAAATTTTCGCTTGAATTTTTTTTATTTGCGTGACTGCCAATATCTGTATATTGTGCTTATTATTTGTAAATATTTTCAGTATTGTTTCATAAATGGTACTACATATACTTGAATGGTATTCTGTTTTATTCCCTTTAAGCTGCTATTTTAGGCAATATACCAGTAATTTCTGAGAATATTGATCAGACGTGCTGGAGCGTCAGTGGCACTCACGACGACAAGTTGAGACTGTGTGCCACTAACGCTCCAGAGCGTCGGGGGGGAAAACGCTCTCTAAACAGGAAAATAATGTTTCTTTGTTTTTATGGTTTTCCTAGTAAAATATAAGGAACATTTAAACCATTAAAACCCTGTTTTGTAATCCAGCTTCTGAGGATGGAAATATCATTTTTAGTGGCAGTGAATGTGTTAAAGCAATTTTATGGTTTTCCTACTGACCTATTAATTACTAGTTAATGCCAAGAACAATGCTTAATACATGACAGGATGCAAAACGAAATTTTCCANTATGCCAGTAATTTCTGAGAATATTGATCAGACGTGCTGGAGCGTCAGTGGCACTCACAAAGACAAGTTGAGGCTGTGTGCCACTAACGCTCCAGGGCGTGGGGGGGAAACGCTCTCTAAACAGGAAAATAATGTTTCTTTGTTTTTCTGGTTTTCCTAGTAAAATATAAGGAACATTTAAACCATTAAAACCCTGTTTTGTAATCCGGCTTCTGAGGATGGAAATATCATTTTTAGTGGCAGTGAATGTGTTAACAAAACAATTTTATGGTTTTCCTACTGACCTATTAATTACTAGTTAATGCCAAGAACAATGTTTAATGTTTAATACATGACAGGATGCAAAACGAAATTTTCCACAGAAAATAAGCACCGTTTAAACACTCTAAAAATATTTTAAATCACTGTTTCAAAAACAAATCATAATAAGAGCAGTAATAAAAATTTCTTTAGATTGTTTAAAGTTCTTCATTTATATACATAAAATATCCATTATTATACAACAAAATGCAAAAAAAATTTCTAATCATGATAAAATAACTAGTTTCTGATAAATATTGAAGGAAATATTGTGTTTTTTTCATAAATTATGGCCACAATTGTCACTTGTAACCGTAAAGATAAATCTCCTTTTAAAAAGGAGAAAATTAAGCACTTTTTACAAATAAGCCCAATGAAAAAAGCACCTATAAGAGATTTTTAAAACGTAAATAAAAAATAAGCACCTCTAAGCACTTTTTAAAAATGCTATGCACATTGCATAATAGCTTAAAAGATAAATTTACCAAAATTTTTCAGGTATTTCAGGAAACTTTCAATAACTTTCTATGTGTAACAATTTTCCATTAAAAAACCCCACTTTTTGATACATCAAAGATTAATTTTTGTGAGGCATCTTCAAACAATTGTATCACTAAAGGAATATATTACATAAAAACCATGCTGGAAAGTGAAATTTTTTCAAAGAAAAATAATATTCAATATTAGAATAATAAACTTAATTCACAAAGACTGATTACTTTTTCTCCAAATTCTAAAATCCGTCATTTCCCACGCATGTTATTAGGAATTTTCCAGGTTTTTCTTTTAAAAAAAATGAAATTTTCCCCGAGCTTTAGTGCCAAACTTTCAGTCTCTGCAGGTTTTTCTTGTTCTCACTGGCCAAAAGAACTCTGAAAGTACTTAAATTCGCACTACATTCAAGAAATGCAACTTACGACTTTTCCAGGTGTTTCAAGAAAATGCCAACATATTTCAAGGTAGTATATTTAATAGATTCTGAAACACCTTAACAATTCAGCTTATCTGCAGGAAAAAAACATTAGCCAAATGAAAATAATGTCAGCAAATTAAAATCGCGTAAAGAGGAATCGTAACACTAAACTATTTCCAGCATATTGATAAACGTAAAAGCATGATTGCACTTTAGTGCACATGTTGCATCGCATACTGTTAAATGCATTTGTTGCAAATCATCTCCTTAAAGAAAATCAAATCTCTTTCAGATTCCTTCAAAAACGAGAAGAAAAAATGCCATCTCAGCTCTTGTAATTTAACAAATAGGGTTGTTCTTTTCAGCTTCAAGTGAGTAGTTTTGTCCTGATTTGGCACAATGATAATCAGCAGTGAGAACCCTGATTCCAGATCACATTTTATCTACTAATTGTTATCATTTTTGGAGCAAAAACAATTGATTTTGTTTTTAAAAAGTCAAATCAAGATGTCCAAATAGTTCGGAAAAAAATTCTCTGATTTTTATCAAACTGATTTTATCCAATTTCCCTGATTTTTTTAAAGGGTTCCATAAATTTTGTTATTATTATTCAGTTATACATACCTCACTCTTAAATAAAAAAAAATAAACATTACAAAATGCTTCTATTTATTTGTTTTAAAAATGGAAAACAAACATTTTTTTAAAGAAACTTATGATAAATCAAATATTTTAAGGAAACATGTCAACCTTAATATCTCTAACTCAAATTAATTCATTTTTCATGACATGTGGGCATTTGAAATTCCCTGACAATTTCCCGATTTTTCTAAATAAAATTCCCTGTTCAGTGGCTACCCTGTTAATACTTGATTTTGTGAAAAACAAACAATTTAGTAAAAAATATTTTTGCAAAATACATTTTACAACATAACTTATGAGAGAAAATCAAATATTTAAAGGAAAATTGTTCCCTTTCAAGTATCTCAAACTCAATTTAATTTATTTCTCCCCACATTTTGGAAATTTTAAATTACTTGACATTTTCCAGATTTTTCGAGATAAAATACCCTCTTCTGGGGCTATCCTGATAATACTTGATCTTGTAAGAAACAAACAAGTTAATAAAAACTATTTTTCGCGAAATAATATATTTTACAATACAACTTACCATACTAATAAAAGTTTACATAGAATATATAATTTACATAGAACAAATATATACTGATTCAAAATAATGTAGTTAAAATGAGATAGGATATGACAGCAAAGCAGGCAATACGAAAATAATAAATAAAAAAATCACAAGGTAACAGGGAGTCAAACAACTAAATCCTTAGCTACTAGACTAGACAGTATTTTTATGACAACAATTAAAACAAGAAATGCTGAGTCTTTTTCAGAAATCTTTAACAGTACTGAACAAATATTTCAGTTTGGCAAATACTTATAAAACTAAATTTTCATGCTTTGTTGCATAGTATCCATAATCAAAAATTTCATATATCAGCTCAGGATATAACTCCATGTTTCCATATGATTTTTCACTTACATTTTAGGTCACACTGTATACAGGTAAATTGATAAGATAGCAATCAAATAATTGAAGCAAGCGAGAGCCATTTCAGTATCAACTACGTCATAATACCTAATTGTGCCAGTGGGAGATGGTGGACTCGAACTATTCCCTTCATGTTCTGGAATACTTATGCGAAGAGGAGCCATTGATTTGCATGGAGAATCTGTTCCATGAACTGGAGGATTATTTTCATCAATTAATGACTGAAACATTATTTTGATACTTGTGCTAGGAAATCGGAAAACACACCTGGAAAAATAAATTTCAGTTAATGTTAAATGAAAATTTGAATAGCTTTCAATTTTCAACTAGATTGTAAGACTTTATTGCACAAACTTTACATCATTTTACGAATAACTAAAATTACCTTTCCTTTACCTTATGACTGGTACAACTGTGAAACAGAATAAGAGCCAGGTTCGAAAAGTTAGGAAAAATAATAGTACAGTACAGAACCCGTTATCCGGAAATCAGTAAACCGGAAAACCAAAAAACCGGAACGAAATTCGATAAATTTTTCCGCCATTTTTTAAAAAAAAAATTTTTTTTCCTGGTAAGATTTTAGGATTTTCCTTTCTTTTTTGAAAGATGTTTACCTTACCATCATTTTGGAAATAATCATTAGTGTATTACTTCGTTTTTTCAAGATTATTTCCAAATATTTTTTTTTTTAGTTGGGTTTAACAATAAAAGAAAACTGCTTTTTGTAGCGATTCAGAAAACCGGAAAAATCAGTTATCCGGAATAGCGATGGTCCCGATCGTTCCGGATAATCGGTTCCCTACTGTAATAAGTTTAACTACCATTCCAATTCTAAGACAAGCAGAAAATTCTGAGAGCTTAATATTTCCCTAAAATAGAGTTCTTTTAGGTTGCAATTTCTCCAAAAAATACAACATATTTTTTTTTAATAAATCTTTTTCAAAGTATTTTTTAAATAAAGTCACCTATTAAAATTTTATCATAATTTCTAAATTTACAAAAAAAGTAAATAAATTTGATTTCACACAATTATTAAATTAACTAACAAATGAATTAAAAAAGTAATGGAAACCAACATATATTGAAACAGTATTGTATTGTATAATCTATAAAACTAAATCTTCAAGAATTCAAACTTATAAATAAATTGAAATATAAAGTTATTTGTGAATATTTAACATAACAGAAATTACCTTTTTATTAAATAGTGACTTTCTTTAACAACAAAAAAAAATCCTAACAACATTGTAAATATGTCTGGAAAAAAAACTATAGAACATATGCTTGTGTATTAAAGAGATGCCCTGCTTTCTATCCTATATAATGTCATCTGTAGAAGTCAGTAATTGTATAGATCTTTGCAGAATGGTGTTCCTAGCGTTGATCCCCGAATCTCTTATAACTTTTTCAAAGGAATGTTAATAAGATGCTTGATATAGAATCTCCTTGTTTGAGATCTCTCTCAATATTGGATACTCCTGAGGCATACACATAGGCTTAGTTGGACATTTAACACTTCGTCATTCTGGCCAGATAAGTTTCGGCGGAATTCCAAATTCACATGTCGCCTCCAGAAACTTATTAATGTTGATAGTCATAGGCTGTCTTAAACAAGGGTGCGTAGCCAAATTTATCACCAAAAAATAAGCACCTTTTAAAGCACTCAAAAAATATTTTTAAGCACTATATACATTAACAAAATACAAAATAATTTTCGAAGACTTTACATGATCCTGATAAAATAACTAGTTTCTGACAAATAAACTCTCTTCTTGATTATATTAGCCATTATAAAATGATCAAGAGATTTTTCGGTTTGATATCAGAGGGTGGAAAATGAAGCCTGAAATTGAGAACATCCTGCAAAATGCAGCAGGGCTGCACATGAGAACGCAATAATCTCACCGAACCCTGCTCAGTTGACGAACATGCGGACTCGCAAGTATTTCATCAAACATGTACAATGATTGGCGCTTTGATGCGCTATGGACGGACGGTATGCCAAAATAGATTGTGGGTGAACGTATAGTGAAAACTTTGAATAGAACAATGTGAAAAGCAAACTTTTGCATAATATGTGGTTAAAATCTACATAGACCCAATGAAAAAAGCACCTTTAAGGGCTTTTAAAACACGAAAATAAGCACCTTTAAGCACTTTTTAAGAACGCTATAAGCCATGTTAAAGTCTACAAAGAGAAAAGTGTCTCTTCCATATTCCTTTGTCCTCTCAAAAATTTGTTTAAGTAAATGCATAGCTATCAACATGAAGGAGAAAAATTCCAGTAGAATCCAGAAACAAACCGAAATTATACAAGAGAAAAAGCATACTGTTATCATATAATATGTAGGGAATTTCGGATATTTTTTAAAAATGTATAAAACAAAGCATAAATACAATACCAAAAAGAAATGTTACATAAAATTTTGAATTACTTAACGAACTCTGTACTTTTACACAATTAAATAAATATTTATTATTTCTTAATTATAAATACCAAAACAAAGCAGTTGGAAAATAGTACAAATAAAGCTTTCTTTTTATTAAATCATTCAATGAAAAATTCCTGATTGTAATAGGTACATCACACCAGCACATAAGATATACAGATTCAAAAATGTAGATGAATTGTTTTTAATGTAAGAGGCAGATTTAGCCATTTTCAAGAAATCATTCTAAAAAGTTTGCTCATAACAGAAAATGTCCTGAATTAATATTCGACATCAAGCAAAAGTCAGTCCGAATTCTGCGGACCTTCTTCCACATTGCCGAAAACCTTTTTTCCTATTGCAAGTACCTTTTTAAAAAATATTTCCCTAAACATAGAGATATTTCTATAAACAGGGGGGGGGGAACGGGAGGATCGATCGAAATCCAGTATGAATAAAATATAAGATCTTGAATGTCAAATTAAGAAGTGCAATGCCATGGTTTGTGATAGTCCAGCTTGTCTTTTTTTGTGGATGCTGAAAATCAATCCATCCTCCCAATTCAATGGGCATTTGTTCTTGGTTCCATGCATCATTAATGATCTTCAAAAGTTTTTTTTCAATTCCAGTACACCAACTTTAAAAAGCTAAGGCAGGGGTCTGTCTAGGTTTTTCTGCGAGGTACCTATTATGTGAAAATTCAGACACAATTTGTGAAAAATTAAAAATTATATTTAAAAATCAACACAAAAATATGGACTTATCGTTTCTTAATAGATATAAAAATAAAATTTTAAGAAAAATTATTTTGTGAAACTATTGTTTTTCCTCAAGTTGAATTTGTGAAACTACCGTTTTTCCTAAAGTTGAATTTGTGAAGGTACCGCTAAGCGGTAGTAAATTCAACCTGGACAGACCCCTGTAACATGTTCTATTTCTGTTCAGTTTCTTAAGAACATCCTCCAATTCAGATAATGTAGGTGTATTAGCCTTAAGTTCTTGTGTTCGAGTGTCAGGCATCTCAACATAATTTTCTTCTGCCGGGCTATCTCTGCCACACAGAGCATCTTAATGTCTCTGCATTATTACATGTTAGCTTACTATTTATTTTCTGAGGGTGCTTATTCTAAAATTAAAAGCTTTTCTATTAACACCTCACTTCCACCGTAGAAAATAAAAATTAAAAAAAGCCACAGTTTGAAAGCCTTTAATTCAAAATGAAGCTTCAATTTAATCCCTACATCTAATTACGCAACCTTCAATTTATGCAAAAGGGTTGGAAATTTAGAATCCATATTTCTGAAAAAGAGTCATATGTTACTTTTATATTTAATGCATGTACTGTTTTTTATATAAAATTTTAAACATCGAGATTAAGTTTCTAACCAAAAATAAAGAATTTTGAACAAAAGTTTTAGAAAATTTAATAGATGCCATTTTGAAAGTGAAGCTGAACAGGATCTGCTTAACTAAACATCAATTTAATTAGTTGAGCATTTATATGCAAGTTGTTTTTTAAACTTCAATCATCTTTGACATTTCAACTTACCTATCTCAAATATAATATCACAGTGCAAACCACTTTAATTCGGATTATAATAAGAACCGACAGCATAGGAGATAGTCATATTTAGTTAATGGTTTAACAGGTATAACTTTTTTAAAAAAAACACTTAAGTTCTCATCACATTACATTGTTAAGAGTAATGACATGAAAATTTTTTATAAAATAAGAATAAGACCTTTCTTGTTGCTTTTTAATCATAGCAAACTTACATAATATACTACATTAATAATCACTCCACATTTCAGAAGAGGGTACATATACAAGTTTAGGAATAAAAAAGTAAGAAAATCAATATCTAGACTTAGTAAGATTAAGAAACAATATCTAGGTAACTAGATTTTGTGAGTATTTTTACTCAGTGTAACTGAGTAATAAATTAACTGTGCAGCTGCAAAAATAATAAGAACAATAGTTAATATGAAAAAACATCACAATAAATTGAAAGTCTATTTGATAGTTACAGTTATTGTTGGATCCAAATAGAAATTCAAAATCAGAATAAACTATCATTTCACAATACTAATAAGAAAATTTCAATTGATAATTCCAAAACAATATTAAAAATATATATATTTATACAACACATTGAAATAAAAGGCTATGTCAAATATATAGCATTTATCACATGATTTGCAAAATTAAGATATCACATTAAAAAAATAAAACATATAAAAAGTTATTGTAAAAGCAATGCGCGGCTTAAAAAGATACAAATACATGATCTAAGCAATTTTAATTGACTAACAGATCTAACATCCAGATTTATCAAATCAGATACCAACTTTATGTATCATGTTTCTAGTTAACATGCATAACAAAACCGCATTATTTTTCTATAAACAAATTGCAGTAATAGAAACTGAAAATTTTAGTCACTGTCAGCCAAAAAAATTATTTGTAATTCCTAACGCTTTTACGGATTTAATTTGCGTAGCACCATAATATTATACTTGTATAAACAAAATCGTAACCGACCTGTCACCGCCAAAAATTGATTTGCCGCTTCACATATAAAATCAAAAGATAATGGAAACAAAAACAAAAAAGGAAGTAGCTCTTATTATAAAACAATAGGTAAAAATCAAACTCTTCTTTATCGCTCTCACACACAGAACAAAACAAATATTGCGTGAATCAGTAAGCCTATGAGGTAGAAAGAACTCTCAATGTTTACATTATTAAAATCAAAACACTGCGCAACAGAAATTACATCAACTGTTTTATTTTATGTATGTGATGAATTACCAGATTAAATCCATTAGCTATATCGAAATTATGATTTTATACGAATGTAAACAAACAAAGATCAACAATATTTTGAAAACGTGGTTCAAAACAAAACACGTTTTAGGCTTAAATGTACTTACTGTTTTGGAAGCTGGAGAGGGGGAGCACCTTTCCTTTGAAATACGCCATCAACAAATACACCATTTTTTCCATTGCATGACATGTAGAAATGCGGACTTTCGAAAGTTACTTCCAAATGTTTTCTTGATATGAAACTCGAATGACCCATGTTTACATCTACATCTCCGACTCTGCTATTACGTCCAATAGTAATACGATTCTGCCGGATCATATATTCGAATTCTCGTCCTTCTAATCTTGCTATAGCTGCCGCTTTTGGTTCTGGACTCCATTGAACTTTAGATGGACTAGCAGGAGCTGATTTTAAAGCTAAAAGAGCCCATGCATCACTATCCACTTCTTTCTGAGAGCTCGCCATAATAAACAATCGTCCAAAATGGCTGCTTCAGCGCGTGGACTTGAAAGCCGTAACTACCGTGAACACACAAACACAATCAATGAATACCAGTATTATTACGATGCGGATAGTCGCATCACAGACGAAAGCGGTATCTCATTGGACAGTCTAGATGAGCGGAAAGGAATGCTTCACCCTGGTAAACAATGTCGGGCCTCGTGCGCATGTCAAAACATTTTGAATGTAAACAGAAAAGTCTGTGAAAAATGTAAACATTTATATGATCTCATCTGAAATAAATGGAAATGGTCAAAAGAAATTTTTACTTTGAGCTATCTGTTCCTCTTAAAATCAATATTCTTTCAAGTTCTTATGCTAAATTTATGTAACGCACCTTTTGTTTTTTAGTTTTCAGTTGAAATTTTAGTTTTACTTCAGTGATTCATTCGTTAAAATAAAACGGAACTAAAACACCGATGGTTTAGCGAACTTTTCGTGTCATTTTGAATAGAGAAATCAAAATATCCTCTCGGATAATGCAGATTAAATATTAATAAATTTTCTATTCGATTGATTCGTGACAATATGTGAGTCACTTTCGGAAATTTTTGACGCAAATGCGTATTTAACCAACCAAGCTGTTCTAATTTGATTTTCTTGATTGATTTTGCATCTGAAACAAATTATTGCTTTTATTTTTCTTCTTAGCTCTCTATATAATATTATTATGTAATTGAAATGATATTTTGAAATCTGCCTTGCATCAAAACAGTATTAAATCAAAATGCGGACATCTTCTCAAACTTAGCGAATATGATCCTCGATTCAACTCGAACTTAAGGCAGTAAAATAAATATTTATCACTTTACCGTTGGCTTTGCTACTAAAAAAAAGGTAGAAGAACAGCTTTAAACTCAGTTTTCGTCAATTTAGCACTTATTTGATATTTGTAAGGGATGAAGCTTTTCAGTGACTTTGGGGTACGAACCTATGACCTTCTCTGTCCTCGTCGGGAACCATCCACTTGTGTCTTATGTTATACATATGAATAATTTTTTTTATTACTTGGTTCCTCTCAAATTTACTACCACTGCTTCATCAGTCAAGATTCGATTACATAATGTCCCATTTCAAACGGATAGCCCTACATTTTAGTTTTACAAGCTCCTCATTTAAATGAGGTGTTATTAATCATAATTATGATTAATAACACATTTTAGAGGTAAACATGAAACTTATGTATAAGAATTTCCACATAATGAAGAAAATATTTGTTATCACAAGCTGTATTTAACATTAAATTAAAGTTTCAACGATTGTTGCACTGTCTGGACAGCTCCACTATGAATTCTTTAATCGAATGACACGAAATCGGAAATTTTTATCCAATTCCTCATCATTTGAAATCAATGCCTCAATTTCTCTTTGCAGTATATGTTAAAACTATAGCTTATATATATATATATATACAAGAAAACACAAAGAAAGTTAAGAAAAACAATATTAATTTTCTTTTTCTTTTTTTTTTTTCATTGTGAAAATGGGATAAAAATCCAACATACAATTCTATGATTAGAAATAGGCACTTCTTAGCCAAATAAAATTTTGCTAGTGTTTTTCAATTAAGTCAGTTTCTCCTTGTTTTAAATAATAATAGTTTATCGGAAAAACTAAAAGTTTGAATATTCATGCATGATATCAATATGAATTAAATTTCTAAATATTGTACATCCCCAATATTGCAAATATTACAAGTACAAATATTGTAAATACAACTCCACACAGAAAAATATGTTTTGAAATAAATTTGAGTTATTTATAAACTTATCAAAATTTAAAATTCATTCAAAAAATTAAAGATTTTTTTTACCATAATGATTTAGTTGGTAAAATATATCTATTAAAAATATACCTCATTAATACCATCTCCATTATCTTATGCATCGAGTTCTTGGGGTTCTTCCTTAAGAAAAAAAAAACTGTAGACTTCTTAGAAAAACATAAAAGATTTCTGCTTTGTGTCATTAAAGGGTACAGGACTATTAGTTATGAAGTAGTGTTTGCTATTTCTGATCACCTATTGCCTTAATTATTTTGAATAATTTTGAGGTTAAGAATGCATTCTTAACCTGAAGATGGCTCACTTGAGTACTTGCTTTGGCACACCAATCTTCCTGTTACATGATTGCCTCACCCTTTCTGTAGGAATCCTATCACGCTTATTACTTACGCTTGTAAAGTCTTGTCTTTCTGAAGTATAAATCACTTGTTTCACAGATGAAAGTAAATTGGATGGAAGATTTGGACTTGCTTGTGATGAAAGCGGAGTTGAAAAAGTTACTTTCCAATATCGGTTAAGACACGAATGCTCTGTTTTTCAAGCTGAACTGCTGTGCATAAATCTTGCCGTGAAAAAGATTAAAGACTCTCTTCAGCGGAAAAGAACCTCAGGTATCTTATCTGTACAGATTCACTTTTCTCACTTCATCTTTTGCGTAACACAGTTTCTGTAGATAAGCTTTGTGGAAATTCAGTCCATTGTGTACGCCCTCGATAGTGTTGCAGCATTTTTCGTATATTCGGGACCATAGCGGTGATCTCGGCAATGATAGAGAGGATCAGTCGGCCAAAGACGCGATTGGCCTAGATATTAATCTTTTGTTTTCTGTCCCATTGTCACCTTGGAAATATATAGTTAGGGAAGAAACTGATTTAGACTGGAACACTGAATTCTTAGCTCCATCAAAAGTTGTGTGGACTAAAAGATTTTTTCCAACTATTTTTTAGCGGAAGTGCAGGAAATTTTCAACTGACTTTAAATTAACTGATTTTTACAGGACATGAAAATTTTATCAACTACACTTTTTTAGGTTCAACTTAGGGAATTGTTATTTTTGTTATAGTGGTCTGGATGTTGAAACTGTAGAGCACATTATATTTTATTGTAATTTATATTCAAGTATCAAGTTAAAGAGAAAGGTTAAAAAAGAAATGAGACACTCGGGTATTTTTGGGGCCAACTGTTTTGTCTTTGTTAAGTGCACTGAAAATCTAAATATTTTACGCAATTTTGTTTACAACTTAAAACTTTTAATTTTGTTCTTTTTCTTTTTAATTTACAATTGTACTTTGCCTGTAAGCCTCATGTTATACTTTGTGGAGAATGAAAAGTTGCGTAATAAAATCTTTATATGTAGAAGCAGATACCTATAGCAAATTATTTGATTAGATGCCCTCGATAAGAGAGTGGTGCAGCGGTTTCCACTTTTTTTTCGGCTATGGAACCCTAAAAAATCGCCTTTCTTCGGTAGAAACCCGACTTTATAAAGGAAATATATAAAGACAATCATGAACGTATGAACCAATAACATTCTACACCTACCTCTTTTTAATTATTATACAAAAAATGATGCTGTTGTTGTTAATTTACGTCGCACTAGTGCTGCACAATGGGCTATTGGCGACGGTCTGGGAAACATCCCGGAGGATGATCCGAAGACATGCCATCACAATTTTGATCCTCTGCGGAAGGGATGGCACCCCCGCTTCGGTAGCCCGACGACCTGCGCGCGAAGTCGAGCACTTTACGGTAGCACAGTTTAACGAGGACCAATACCGCACACCCTCGGTCCCTACGNGTAATAAGTTTAATAAAATCTTTATATGTAATACTGAGCAGATACCTATAGCAAATTATTTGATTAGATGCCCTCGATAAAAGAGTGGTGCAGCGGTTTCCACTTTTTTTCCGGCTATGGAACCCTAAAAAATCGCCTTTCTTCGGTAGAAACCCGACTTTATAAAGGAAATATATAAAGACAATCATGAACGTATGAACCAATAGCATTCTACATCTACCTCTTTTTAATTATTATACAAAAAATGATGCATTTTAATTTTCTACAATTCTTGTATATTGTCAATTAAGTCTTACTCATAATTCAAAACATATTTGTATAACAATTAAATTCTATACTCATAATTAAAAAAAGTAATCTTCAAAAAAAATTTTTTTTTTGATCATTTACCTGTAAATATTTTATTATCAAAGAACAGACCAAGCCTGTGTCTAAGAATTGCAATCAGAATTAACAGTTATGATACAGAAATATTTTAATTTCATAAAATAACGTGGTTTATAATTTTGGTGTGTTTTATTTATTTATATTTTAATATGCTAGTATTAAAGTTTCATGAATTAAGATTTAAAAAAAATTCTCATTGTTAAAATTATGACTAGAATTCATAATTTTCTGAACCCAGAACCCCCTATAAATACTTTTTCCCTGCTAAAATTCCAAGTATTTTTTTAAAAAGTCGCAACCAACTTATTTATTCTAGTCGCTTATTTTTCTGCTTGTTGTAATTGTTTTTAACACTCTTCTGAGAGGATAAATTCCATCTGGTTGTTTCCAGTCGATACCAGTCAAAGGATGTAATGTTACGTCCACCCTTGTAAGTCCAGTGCACTGCAGGATGTGTTTAGGTGAGGCTTGAAACATTTAGTTGTTTATTTTTTTAATTTATTAATCTATTTTTTAATTATGTTCTGTAGAATACGTGCTACCCCTGAAGGCAGAGCCGGATTATACCTTTCGTAGGCCCTAGGCATAGCTGTTTTAGGGGCCCTCCCCCCACTCCTCCCCTCTTTTCAAAATATATGCTAAAATTTTCTTGCATATTCTTTTTTACATTTCTATTAATATAGATTTTAATTTACAAATTTGTTTATCGAACTTTAAGATAAATTTAATTTCGATAGTTATTAAAGATAAACAAGTTTACCTTTAATAACTATCGAAATTAAAGATAAACTTGTGAATACTTTTCCTAACGTTCACATTGCATTAAGAATACATTTGTCGATTCTTGGATCAAATGCAGAAGGAGAAAGATCTTTCTCTAGATTAAAATTGATAAAAAAATTTTTGCGTTCAACAATGAATCAAGATCGTTTGGCATCTCTCGCACTTGTCTATTGAATACGACATTTTGCGTAGTTTGGAATTCGACAGCATAATACAAGATTTCGTTGAATCCAAAAAAGTAATATATTAGATCATAAGACTCTGTAAAATAATTTATTACCGAAAAATATTATATTTTTATTTGTATCTTCATAATTTTGTACAAAATGCACTTGTTTTTAAAGCTAAATTATTTTTGTAAAAAATTTTTTTTCTCCCAAGTTTTTCGTAGGCCCTAGGCACGTGCCTATAGGTTAATCCGGCCCTGCCTGAAGGAAAAGCTTTGAAATCTGTAGACAAACTGATGAGAGAAAAAAATGTTAATCTCTTACTTTCATGAATAACTGCTGATATTTATGGTATTAATTCCACATATGTATATGGGTGATTCTCACGAAACATGACAATTCGGACCAAAAACATTTCTTCAAATTTAGTCTTCAAAAATAATCTAAAATTTTTTTGTATACTTCTTTAGCTACACTTATTAATATCTTATAGACAGCAGTGTAGTTAATTGACATTTGCTCGAGAAAAAAAATAAAATAGAAATTCACCAAATCTTGATCACCTTGCAAGGATTAACGAAAAATAACCATGTGACGCAAAAAGCACTGCAAGAGAATTTTTGTTGTTGTTGTTGACAACTTCATAAATTCAGCATTTAAATTCATGTAATATTACAGGATACAAAGGATAGGTATCTATCACAAAGAAAAGTGAAGGATATTTGAAGCACTTGTAACTAAATGTAGAAGAAAATTGATATGATGCTGATTTTTGTAGGATAACCGTGTGTTGAAAAGGATTCTAAAGGGCAGGCTTCCACTCTGCCAACTTAAACAAGAATTACTTCACATTTGCTCTTAACAGTATCTATAACTTTTCCACTTAGTTTCTTTTTTTTAAATATTATGCCTGTTACACAACAGAAAAAGCAGCATCAAGCCTATTTAATTGTACATGAACCATATTATACTGTGTAATGGATTTCTCAGTTACATTAGTTTAGTGAAATTCAATTACAATATAGCATACATTGTCCTCTATAGTGGAAGTATGCATTTACTTTTATCAGACATTGAATGATGATCACCTTGTCCCCCGAGATTGACGGGAAATACATCTTCATGAAAAATTTTAACTGTCAACCCAAACTCAGTTTGAATTACTAGAAGGCTGTTGTCTGCTTTCAAGGATAAAAAATTTTGTACAAATATAACAATTTTGATTTTAGTGGAAGTAAAATATCAGCTAATACAACAAGCACAAGTTAATAGTCACCGTAGGTGAGGTGGGGTACTTCTAGAAAATTTTATGTAGACCACAAAATAAAACGTTGTTAATAATATCTTTACTGAAAAGTAATATAAGTATTTTTAAGGTTTTTCCCTTATCCAAAACTGCTTATCTTTGACAAGGGAGATAAAATTCAAAATTTGCAGCATTGAGAAAATTCCAAAATTTGCAGGAAAAGTTATCAGTAAATTTTTTAAACGTATAAACAAAACTATTCTGAATCTTTAACTGATTTATGGTTTGCAACATCTAAAGAAGTCTTTTCACTGATCGCTTTATCCTGTTGAAAAACCAGTTTTCCTTCTTGTTATCCAACAAATTGTATATTGAGGAAAAATTTCTCCAAAATCTCACCCGAATGCAAAACAATTGATCAGTTACTTCAAATATCATCTGGTTACCTTTGTACTTTCAAAGTATCACCATAAAAATTCTTATTTAAAAAATTGCCAGATTTATTTAAGATAGTTTTTTCTTTGAACGTTGCACATTTATGTTAAAAATAGTATAACAGTTTAGATCAAAAATGATAATGTTGAAATTTTTTATTTTACCAATAGGTTAAAAATACTCTAGATATGATTGATTACATTTCAACTGATTACATCTAAGTTTTAACAACATTTTTTAAAATTAAAATTGTAATATTCTTAAAGAGAAAGAAAAGTTAATTCAAGCAAGTATATTAAAATAGTTTTGAGTTACATAGAGACAAGATCAAAATTCATGAAAACAGAACTCCTTAATGAAGGATCTAAAACAATGAAATGTAGACTAAATTTAGGAGAGAAAAAACTATTATTTTTGAAAAAAAAAAAATTCTCTCAAAGTTAATTACACTTTAGTAATAAAATTTGTATCTTAGTGAAGTCTACAATGAAATTTAAAGAAAGAAAAAATAAATAAAATAGAAACAGAATTATCATGAATATAATTTATTTACAGAATATTTAGTATCAATGCATAACTATGATGACAGATCATTTGTAAACAAATATATGAGAGCACAGTAATGATTCTATGACAAGGCAAATAATAACAATTACAAGAAATATTTAAAAAAAAAAAATTAACAAATTTGGCTAATTTAATTAAAATTTCACATTTTTTAAAAATATTTTATTACATCTACTATGATTATAGTAATAAGAAATTAAATACACTCATCATGTATTTAAAAAGTAAAATATTTATTAAAAATAGGCACATACAAGCCTAAAAACATTTATTTACATCAAATTCAAATAATGAATATTTTTAAAAGTTTCTATTTTTGAAACAGAGATAAACTAATAATTGTGATAAATAAAATATTATACTATGTGGCCAAATAATAATCAATAAAACAAATACTGTTGAGGTAACAAATTTTTTTTAATTTTGATGAATTGATTCATCCTAACTACAAAAATAAAATATATATATAAATATTTAAGTGATTAATAAATTTGAAATCAATTACTGAAAATTCTGAATATAAATCTATATGTATATAAAGGTTAAATAACGTTATTACAACAATTGAACATAATTACTGAAGTAGTAGTTAAAATTGTTTAAATTTAAAGCATTAAATAATATGAACTAAAATAACAGTAAAAAATAACTAAATAAATGCACTATATTCTTATAAAATTGTACAACATTTATTAAAAACTTACGCATACTAAATCTAAATGTATACTTATAGTTCGAGATTTTCTTTTTAATGGTGTAAACTCCTAATTGAGGTTAATAAAATTCATTGAGCTTTATACTGTTTAACCACAGACTGTGGATATTTTAACAAATAAAATAAAACCGTTATGGCCGTTTAAAAATGTTAAAAACGCAATGAATGATATTAGCAATAACAATAAAGAATCAACTAAATAAATGAAACATATATTAATAAGTTTGTATAACATTGATTAAAAACTCATGCACACAAATCTAAGAGTATATAAAGATTAAATAATGTTTATCATCAAACATTTGCTTTAAACTGAGGTATACTTGCAATTGAGATTAATATAAACTAACTAAAATATTATGCTGTTTGGCCATTACTTTCATTAGAAGTACCATTTTTACATTCTGATTCAGGCCTATCTTTAAAAAATCCACTTTCAGTGTCACATTCTCGAAAAGTTACGGTATAATCTGTAGTGACATCAGTAATTAAAATGTTATCTACGACAGGATTTTGTTTTTGCCAAAATTCATCCGATACTGGACCATCAGAACTTCCAGTATCTCCGATGCCACCACTATCAGGTGAAGTTGCCGAATCCGCAGCTGCTACTTTGGGAACAGCAGTTGAATTTGAATCCGCTGTTGATACTTCGACATCGTTTTGTAGAATGCAATTGCCATTGGCAGTTGTATCATCAGAGCTCACTTCCACATTTTTACCTTCAGTCACAGTAACAACTGAATTTTCAACAGGTATCTTAGATTCAACTGATTCTTTCAAAGGCAATTTATCTTCACTTGTAAGCTTAGATTCTGAATTACTTTCATTAGAGGATTCAGAATTACCTTGAGCAATTTCCTGAGTGATTTCTGGATTTGTCCCCGTTGTTTTATTTTCCCCAGATCCTTCTGAAGCTGATGATGAATTGGAATTGGGAACATGCCACTCTGTACTGCTAGGCGTGGATGGGCTAACATCCCAAGAGCCATCAGTAGATTGTGAGTTAGCAAGCTTTGGCACTTTAGCTAGTGGTTGAGAATCTTCTGATGAAGTTTCAGCTTGAGCAAGATGATTATCAGCAACTTTTTCTCTACTTATGCTTTTACTACTAGGTAAATCAGTTATTGATTCGTCAAGAGAATTGGTAGAACTCTCTTCAGGTAAAACTTGATTATCAATCTGTGTGGGCACAGAGTTATGTGATGTTTCTTGTATCTTAAATAAAACATATATATAATTGGTAAGTAAAAATAATAAACATAACACACATGGCATGTTTAATGAAATGCAAAATAAAATGTATAATGCAGGACACATCTATAATTTTATGTTTACTAGAGTGGTCCAACCCTGCTCACTAACCGCCAATTGAGGCCGGGATAGCCTGGTTGGTAGGGCACTGGGCCAATGTTCAAGAGTTCGTGGGTTTGATCCCCGCCATCCAAAGACTCCCCGTGTAGTAAATGGTGAATAATGCATGTTAAATCTGTCGAGTCGCAAAGTCCTCCATGTTCCCATAACAAATCAATACCTCTGGGGGTACTGATCCAGGAGTTTCCTTGTCTTCGGGATTGATTCAAAATTACAAGGCTACAGAGTTGAACATCAGCAGTCGTAAACCCAAAAATTGGGTCGGCTGTTCAACGACAGATATAAAATAATCCCCGATTGATTGGGAATATCTTTTACAAATTTAACTGATACAGCTTTATGAAAGGAGTATTTCAGGTACAGCATAATCTAGTACAAAAATGTCTGGAAATCTAACTGTAAAATTGACAATTATGAATGGATCCGGTCCAGTCATAATCAGGACAGGAAAATAGCCGGTGCTCAAAAACCCAAGTGTCTTTTCAAAATAGAACACTTTTACTTCATTTTCTAAAAGAGTATTTAACATGGAATCAGTCAAACATATTGTTACATAAAAATTAAATATAATTCAATTAAAAGATCTTAAATTTTTTATAGGGTTGGTATGGTCTTTTTAATTATTTTCACAGTTAAAGTTCTTAATTACATTTGGACAAAATTTAAACATAATAATTTCACGTGGTTATTTATCCCACTAACTTGTTACATATTTCCCCCCAAAGAGATACAAATAATTGCTTTGAACTTAATAAAAATCAATAAATCTGAGTCATGCTTGTAATAAGAAAAGTTTTATGCAGGTTTTGTAATATAAATAAAACTCTTTAAAGTTTCCAATTAAACCCGGAATCTTGTTAAATCAGGGATTGTGATAAGTTACCACAACTGTATAGATTTTTGTCACATTTTGAATGTTTAAAATTTGACCAGAAATATCGGAATGTATCAGGGGTTGAAAAAACTATCTTTTTAAAGAAGTTTAACCCAGGTGGTATTTTTTAAAGGTTTAATTGGGCATTTTTTTGGGGGGGGGGGGTGAGGATGAGGGATAAATACATATCTGGAAGATAATGAAATGACTTTATTATTAAATCAATAACAGCATATAGCGTTAATAATAAAATAAACATAAAATTTATTTTAAAAAGCTTACAAACAAATAAAATCATTATACAGCTTCATATAATTTTTATTAAAAAAGAACTAGCCAAAAAATTTTCTCAATTCTAATAAAGTAATTTTATTTTATTTAAACTCTGCGATATAGATATTACATAAAAAAACAACCCTTTCAGGAAAACACCCAATACTCTTCCCAACTCAGTAGCTTTTCTTTTTTAATTTAATTTTGATCATTATCAGTAGAAAAAAAATAAGATGACCTTTAACATTACTTATTAGCCACACTTGCAATTAGAAAAAGTAGTACAGAACTGAATATTAACTGCAAAATTATCTTAAATGAATAGGTCATATCATTGAGATTTAAAAAAAGCTGGTAAAATAAAGAGTATATTGTGCTCCAATTCTGCTATGATAACCTCTTAACAATTTTATTATTTTCAAGAAACCGGTCATAAAAGTGTATTTTTTATTCAAGGAAATTATATAAAGAAGGTGTATGTACAATATATTCAGTCATTCCAAGATTCAGGGTAATTGAGATTGAATGTTGGTTTTCCAGAAAGCATGGAAACTTAAAAAAAATATGCGCTTTAATCATTAAAAACAGTATTTTATTTAACTTACACATAATATTAACAATTTTTTCTTGTATGGTAAATTTCAAAGCATGAGATACAAGCTTAAAATAGGGATGTAACGAATATCCGGTAGGCCGAATACTTGGTAAAATATTATTTGGAAAAGTGTTTTTCGACGAAGTTTTTTTTGGGGGGAGAAATTCAAATAGATTTAATAAAGAATTATCTAAAAATCATTTTTTTTTTTTTTTTACTATTCATTATTAGAAATTGTTTTTAAACGTACTTGTTAAGTTTTCATTAAATTAATTATGTTCTGAAAGCCCCTGTGGTAGAATTCATTTGGGCATCCTGTGACATACCTTTCTAATACTATCTTTCTGCAAGATACTTTTAAAAATAACAAAGATACAAGTTACTAAATTAAAATAACAAAAGATTTAACTTAAAAAAAAAAAAAAAAACTTTTTGGATCAAATAAAATAATTTAATTAAACATGTAATAATTTTTATTCTAATATTATGGTTGATATTCTTGCATTTTGTAGGGGGAAAACACACTATTTCCTTTTTCGCATTTTGTAAATCATCATCACATAAAAAAAAAAATTTAAAAAATCCTGAAATCAGTAGAAGTTAACTACCGAGAAAAAAAGATCGATGTCGAAACCAAGCAAATCAGACTCATCAAAAAAGAGTTTCTAAATGGGTGTTTTCATTTCGAGATTCAGTTGCTGCAATAAATTATATCGTATTAAAAATAACGGATTTTAAAAACCATGTAAAAATCAATAGTAATAATTGCATAAAAAAAATTAGAACGAAAATTTTTGCAGAGAAGAAAACTAAATCTTACTTCATTATTCCTTATTTTTCAGTATTTTAAAACGAAAATAGAAAAATCACAAGCATTTTTTCCCACTCAGATGCGCGAAAAAGACGTCTTTTGATTATAATTTTGAAAAAAAGATAAAACTTTCAAAAATTTTACTTCCAAAAAAAAAAAAAANTGTACTGTTTTAAAAAAAAAAAAAAAAAAAAATTAAAATCTTTCTGCAAGAACTCCGTAACGTTCTACTACAATATCAACGTGTCGGCACGATTCTGCCACAGGGTGAAAGACAAATGGAAAAGTGAAATTTAATGAATTAGATTACTTACTGAACCATGAGTTTGTAAAGCTGACACTTTTTTTAAAAAATTTATATGCTTTATTGTTTTTCAGTAGTAATTATATCATTTCTAATGGACTTACTTTTCTCATTGTTACTTTTTTCCTGTATGGTAAGACAGATAACCGGCAATGCAGAAGACTGTGATTATCAACAATACAGTTACATTAAATTATATTATAAAGTTATATTTCAGAACTAAGAGAAATTTTTTTCTTCTTTTTTATTAACTTTTCTTTTTATCTTTGTCTTCATTATGGCAACATTCTTTAAAGAGCATTTTTAATGAACATTCATTTGTGATCACTTTTTTCAAAAAATATGGCAACGTGAAAAAATTAAATTGAGATTTTTAGCATTAAATCTTTAATTTAAAAATTAAGAATGATTTCTGTTTTGACTTCTATCCACTTCTTTTTCAAAAAACTTTTAAGTTTTAATCATGACAATCAAATGGGTTTCTATTAAACTTTACTTTTTCTTGAAAACACGTCAATTGGAAAACTGAGATGTTTAGCTTTTAAATTTTCTTTAGAACATTAAGATCAATTTTTATTTTTTCTGTTTCACTTTTGTATAGAATCTTTTTTTAATGGGCGTTTTTATGCTAGTATTGCCTTTTTATAAGCGTTTCTGAGAGAGTTTTTAATCTTTCAACATCTTGTGGATGATATTTTTCCGGAAAATATTATCTTTAGCATTAAAATCTTTTTTTAAGAATTAAGACTATCTTTTTCCTATTTTTGTTCAAATTTACAATTTTTTTTCTTTAATAGCTGCTAGTCAGTTTTTTTAAAATTTATCTTAAATATTTCTAAATATAACTTAATATCTAATTATCTCCATTATCTTAAAATTTTTTATTTTCAATTTACTCCATACCAATAATGCATTTAAGTTATGATTTTTTTTCAATAATGATTGAACTTATTTATTTATAAAAAATAATATTTATTGATGATTTTGAATTTTAAAAGAGTTATTTGACCAGCGAATATTCGACAATTGGCAAAAATCACTATTCGTAACATTCATAGTTTAAAATAAACAATCTCTAGTTACATTAAAAATAGTCTGGTGCAGCAATCTAGTATGTAAAATAAGATTAAAAAAAATTCTGGGTGCAAGAGGTGGATATATTTAAATCTTTTTGGTACATTACTTTTGAACAATCTAGCCCGGAAATATCACAGACACAAGAAATAGGAGACGAAAGCTACCCTGTTATTTTGACAGGAGCAATATGGAAGGGATTAATACATTTTTTATTCTTTAAAATTTAATAAATTTTTATATAGTAAAGATTTAAAAAATATATGAAAAATTTTTCAGTCAACAACTTTTTAGAAAGTATTCAGGATTATTAGCTTAAGCATGACAGAATAATTAGAGAAAAATGGTCAAAAATGTGTGAAACTAGAATAACAGGAAAAAAAAAGTTGGCAATTGAAGTCCATTTTTTAAAATTATTATTTCTGATAATACTCAAATAACTTATCTTTTCTTATTCCTATATTTTTTCCTGTAAGCAATTTAAACTACCGTTTCTGAAAAAAAAAAGACCTTTACATGCTAAAAAAATGTGATGAGCAAATTCATAACTAATTCTACATAATTTATTAAAAAATAGCTTTTAAGGAGTAATAAATACAGATCTAATCATATTTTCTTTTTATTTGTAATACATCAATGATATTTCATAAAGAACGTAAAATTCTAAAAAGTCTACATATACAGTGGGATATATGGCATTTTCCTTAATTTTTAATGCATTGAAATACGCCTAAACAAAACACTAAAATAGTAAAACACAAATATGAAAACGATCGTGTTCATACATGAAATGCACATAAAATTATATCCAAATTATATAAGAAATTAAAATAAAAAATAGTCAATAAAAATACATGAAATAGAATACATCAAAGCATTTTAAATTTGTACTATTAAAAACAAGTAAGAAAATTGTAAGTTTACTGAATGCTTTCTTTTTCCTTTTGGTCCTCTTTTGGCAGGAGTATGTTCTTTACTTTGACTAAGAGAAAAAAAATACTAAAATGAGAAAATCGAAAATCTACATCTTATTAAATACAAGGCATTCTGAAGTCACCCCTCCTGATATTAAGTTAGATCACTGTTACAGGAAGCCAGAGGGATAAATGTTTCGTTTTTTTTTTTTAATTAAAAAAAAATTGAACTGACAGTTCCAGNATGCCTAGTTTTTTTTTTTTTTAATTAAAAAAAAATAATTTACTTTTATCTTATGGAACAGTCCAAATAAACAACTGCATAAAAGTAACCATTATTAGAAAATTGCACACTTGCTATCTAGCAGAATATATCAATAGATATGCCCCAAAAGTTTTTGGAAAAAAAAAAAAACCTAGCATAGTAACAAAACTTAACCTATTATATAAAGGTTCTTGCCTTTATTTTAATCAAATTATTTAAGTAATGAAAAAACTAAAAAGATATTGAACAAAAATTTAATTTAAAACTGTAGAAGGCAAACTAGAAACAAAACCTGTTTAATTGATAGAATCAGAGTGGAATTGAAAAGGGTTGTAAAAAATATATTAAAGTTTGGTCAGACAAATAAACAGGTTTTGCTATCTTTCATCCTACCTTCCTTATAAGTGATTCATTGCATTTTGATAATCTTTTATTTATTTCCCATTAAAAAATTAACTTGCAACACATAACATGTATACTTTTTGCTCTTCCTTTTTTTGACAAGGATTCTGGCAATATGCAGCAAGGAAATGAATAAAATTTAAGTTAAGAACACCTTGTCTTTGTAACCAATCTAGATAATGAATACAACAGGAAACTATATGTGTCGTTTTAATAAATAACTGTAATTATTTTTGAACATTAATACAATAACTAAAAATTAACATGTTGTATACAGGAAAAAAAAACATATTCCACAAAAAGACTACCTTAATAATATTTTAGATAAGTTCTACTCTTCTTCAAAGAAATTATTTAATAGGAAATTTATTTTTAACATAAAAAAAAAAGTTTTATTACAAAGAGTGCCAGATTCATTATGTAAATTGTAAATATTCTACTATATAGAAAATAAAATACGAAGGTACAGTAAACTCTAGATAAATCGGGATGGTCAGAAAATACTACGTTCTGGATAAGCGAATATCCGAAATAATCTAATTTATGCTAATTTTGATGAAAAAATTATAAAAAATGCAAAATAAGTGTATACAATAAAATATTAATTAATTCAAAAGAAAATGAAAAAAACAAGACTTTTCCTATTTTTAATTACTTCCAGCTTTTGATTTATACTAAGAACGACTCTTTTGCATTCCAACAAGTTAACACAACAAATAGAACGTAAAGCATATGGAAAGATTTTATTCTGAACAAAACAGATACTGCTACCATAGTCTAATCATATCTCACCCCACCAGAACAGGAGCAAAACTGTTTGGCTATACTGATGGTTGGCTGAACGAATCCAATACAATAAAAAGGAAGGGTTAAGAAAAGTGCAGTTTTCTAGCACATTTCAACGACCACAATCTATTCTTTTTTTCTTGGATCATTCCAGATAATCCAATCCCGCTTAATCGAGAGTCTACTATGCATACCATTCAAGGTTGATTATCTATATCCTGTAGCAGGGTGCCTAGCCAAATCTTTCAACAAAAAATAACCACCATTTAAGTACTCAAAAAATATTTTTAAGCACTATATACATTAATAAAATGCAAAATAATTTTCAAAGACTTTACATGATCATGAGAAAATAACTAGTTTCTGACAAAGAACTCATTGTCTTGATTACATTAGCTATTATAAAATGATTGAGAGATTTTTCGGTTCGATATCAGAGGATGGAAAATGAAGTCTGACATTGAGAATATCTTGCAAAATGCAGCAGAGCTGCACATGAGAAGGCAATAATCTCACCGAACCCAGCTCTGTAGATGCACACGCGGACTCACAAGTATTTAATCAAACATGCAAAATGATTGGCGTTTTTATACGCTATGGACCAACGGTACGCCAAAATAGATTGTGGTTGAATGAATTGTGAATAACGTTTAATAGAACAATGTGAAAAGCAGGCTTTTGCATAATACGTGGCGAAAATCGACATGGTGAAGAAAAAAAAATCTCATTTTCGAAAAGGGAAAATTAAGCACTTTTTAAAAACACCCAATGAAAAAAGCACCTTTAAGAACTTTTAAAAAATGAAAATCGAAAATAAGCACTTTTTAAAAATGCTATGCACCATGTGTAGGTTGAATAGGTCGGTTCCTGTAAGTTGCTTAGGGAAAATGTACCACTAAATTTTATTACTCTAATGTTGATTTTACAATGAAGAAAAGAATTAGAATATATGTAGGAGTAAGTTTGATTGCAATTGATTTTGGATGAGTTATAGTAATAACTAACATGTGATTCCTGGAAGAAGAAATTATCTGAATTCTTTTTTTCTGAATGTGTAGTTTTTTCTTTATGCATAGAAGTTAAATAAAAGACTCATTAAGCACAAAAGTAGCATTTCTAAAATATAAAGCGAGAAAGAAATATCTTTTAACTAATAAATTTTTCTCACCAACTCACAAAAGAATATGTATTGAAAAAATGACATATTCCTCCTTTTTCACACTTTGTACCTTCTTCATGCGAAAAAAAAGTTAAAAACCGTGAAATGTATGGTAATAACTGAATGAGAAAACCATGACCACAAAATCTAACCAATCAGAGAGATCAGAAAGGGGTTAAATAAATGTACATGTCAAGATTTAAATGTTGTAATAAATATTTTATTAAAAATATCTAAATTTTAAAATATGACAAAATTAATTTCGATAACTGCCAAAAAATTCATTGAAAAAAAAAAAAACTATAGAATTATTGCGTCAAATAGTAATTACTTAGGTGTGCAATTTCAATTTCCTGTATTATATCGGGATTTTAAAAGACTGAGTGAAAATCAACAGCAATAACTGACCAAAAAAGGAAAGAGGATATTTTTATTATTAGGCAATATTTTTTTCAGTCTCGCGTTCCGAAAGTTTATCTCTAACAAATCTGCATAAAAAAAAGTCAATATCATGCATGATTTTAAACTTTAAAAAAAAAAAAAAAAAAAAATGGGGGTAGGGTTAATGAAATTTTGGGGATGGGACGTAAGTTAAATTTTAGATTAGCGGAACTTGTCAAAATATTAATTATTGATTTGCGAAAGACAGGTCTGGAGATTCACATAATTCCATGAATTAGAGGAAGAATTACATGCCTATAAAAATATATGATTAAATTATTTTGGCACTATAATTCAAAGGTTTTAATTCCATAAAAATTGCTTTTTTTTGTTTGTTTTTTAAACAATGCATTATAATGTTTATTAATAGAATTCAAATTTTTCATAATAAGATAAAAAAATTAATTGATTTTAATAGCATTAATTTGTCAAATTTAAATTGCATCAATTTGTCTAAAATCTAATTAATACCAAATCAAGCCTCTGCTTTAGTAATTAGGTTTGACTGACATAACATTATAGGGACAACATATAATTAAAATTTGAATTCGTAAGCACATAATACAGTAAAAATCACAATGTAACAAGCATGGCATATTACTAAAACTCCACTATTATGGCAATTTTCCAAATTACTATCAATATATCAATTTTAAAGATGCAGAAATTATGTGTATATAATGAATTAAAAACTACAATTCTTTTTTTGCCGTGTATGTGGAAAAATATAATATGAAAAATGTGAGACATTTTTATTTATTAATAATTTTAATAATATAATTAATTTTAATAATATAATAATTATAATTAATTTAAATTTAATAATATAGAATAGAACAAAAAAATTTTCCCTCATTCCTTTTCTACAGTCTTAACCTTTTACATTTTCAAACATATGGAATACACACTTCAAAAGATTCTTCTTTTGTTGACTACTTACAATTGATATCAATATTGCATGTTATCAATGACATTAAAAGCTATTGCATACAATTACACTTGAGTAGTTGCAATTTTAACACTAAATATGTGTACAGTAGAATTTTGAATTTCACACGAATCTGTGTTATTGAAAAAATTCAGTTAAATAAACTCTTTTTAACAAGCCATGAAAGGTAAAGAAATTGTTGTAGGAGCTTTGAAAAATTATTGTGAAGGACACTTATCAATAAATCTCGGACTCAATGGGACCTAAAATAATATAAGCTGATGCCCAATAATTTAGTTAATTTCAACATAGAAGCAAAACAGTTTTACGCTACTCTCGATTCAATAATAAGCTGGTTTCTAAAAGTTGGTTTGAACTCCAAGAAATTTTCCACTTTTGTAGACTATACGGAAAGACATGTACTGGTTAACATTCATTAGACACTTTTCATTTAAATATTTTACACAGATTTAAAAATTACTTTATTATTTATTCAAGTTTTATGAATTCAATAATTCAAATTTTTGGCACAAAGTCTGAGGGGTCCAATTGATTTTCACCTTTCCAATATTTTTTAAGGAATTACCGAACATAATGATTATTCAATAAAAAACAAGTAAAAAAAAAAGAAAACTAATACTGCAGCAATATAAAGCTAACAAAAATTTAGAAATAAATGCATCAACATAAAGGTAAAATAGACAAGAACAAATTGCACTAATGAATAATTATATTTAACATATACCTTGTTTCAAAGGCTTCAAACAACCTTACATCTAAGATGTTTTCTTCTGGCTCCCAAGTATTATACCTAGATAGAAAAACAACAACAAAAAACATTATAGAGTTTTATAAACATAAATGAATTATATTTTGTATACATAAATAGTAGCTTTTTTTAAAGGTTTAAGAAATTTAAATATACTTATTCTTATAAAATGCAAAAAATAATAAAATACTACATCAGGTGAAAGAAGTTTTCATATTATATAAGTTTGCTTTCAAATCAATGACAAAAATTGTGTAAACATAGTTTTTTGCAATAACACTCAGATTTTGGCAAAGTAGGCTCACTTGAAAATTTTTCTTAATTCAAAATTTACTGAAGGTACTCAATAGGTTTTACTTCAAAAGCAAAATAATTGTACATTATTGTCATTTAAATGAAGATTTCTGAACAAATGATGATAAATTTAACTTGAAAATTAAACTACACATATGCTTAATTTAGCTAAATTAACTTGATTTATAAATTAAAATGCAATCAACTTGTTCTGAGAGCATACTAATGTACCTTTAATAGGGATGGAAAAGTAAAGTATCTATTCTTACGAAGAACACATTAACGCTCATAAAATCTCACAAATATTTTTTTTATATAAGTTACAAGGAATTGTTATCATATTCTTATTAATCATATTTTCACTACAAGTGCTTAACTTTTGATATAATATCAATTTTACATTTTTAGAATATCTTAACAGATTGTAGTCAATATAATAGTAATCAATTTATCTCAATTAGGAAAAATTATCAGCTTTTATGAAATAAAATTAGTTACGTCTTTAAAAAGTTATTGAATCTTCTTAAGCTAAACTAAAGTATAAATTACATATTAAGTTTATATGTTATATTACATTACATAAAAACTGTTGCATTTATATACATTTTAATCATAGCATTGGAATTGAATTAGGTATTAGAAGAATATGTTTTTATACTTTGCTAAGGATGCACATAACATTCAGTTGTGGGCCAATCATATTACATCTAGACCAAATAATTTTCTTTCTTTATTAATAAAATGGCTTATTTATAAGGGAATTAAAAGAATCGATGCAAAAAAGTTTAATTAGAACTTTGTATTAGATTTCTTTAAACTACATGTCAGATTAAATCCTATATCTTAAGTAAATACTCACCATACCAAACCTCTTGGCACAATGAATCGTTCTTTTATTTTTCTTTCACCTTTAGGTTTAGTTTAATACTATTTAAATTCAAAATTTTATTGCGTGAAAATGCTATGATGCTTAAAAAAACTTATAATTTTGAAAAGATGTTTCATAGGTTTCCAAACATTTTTTTTTTAATGCATATGAATAAAATGGCTTAAAACATTTCTAATGTTGTCAAGACATTCTTATTGGCTAGAAAATTGCATGGTATGTTCATAATTGCATCTTAATTACAATTGTGTACTAATAAGTATAATTGCATCTTAATTAACAGAGATCTAAATTTCCTCAAGAGTCATCAGCCTAAATTAAGCGAAAATATATAGATATTTTTCTTGATAATTCATTTATTTATTCCTTATTTAAATAAAAAATTTATTTATCACTTTTTCTAAATATTATTCTTTACTAATATGATTAGATTTTTTTAAATTATTTGAAGTGTCAAAACTAAAATTAGTATTCTTTTATTTAAAGTAATCCCAATATACATATAAATATTGAAAATGGTATGTAAATGAACTATTTTGCAATTATTAAACAGTATATAAGCTATATTTACTTTTATAATAAGCTTTATATAAAACAGTTATTACGAATTAACAAAATAATATTAAACAATTAGTTCAGGCTAAACATTTAACTAAATTTGTAATGATCAAAAATATAACAGTAGAATAGGATTTTAAAAAACAAAATTGTATATTTAGTCACTATAATAGTAGACTTGAATCTATAATAGTCTTAATGTTCCTGTACTTTAGAGTGCAAGGTAAAGAAAACTGGCATGGACACAATAGACCTTGGCACTCCATGGACTGCAGGGGTGATTGTGAGCCCAAGTCAAAACTCCGGAAAATTTCTTGAGTTAAAATAAAAACAGTTTAAATTGAAAAAAATTTAAACAAGTTTTTTTTCCTTTTTCTCAACATTTCCTAGTTTACTTAAAATATATTTAAAATTTTACACATACCTATACCATCTACACATACCTATGATGACCTGGAGAAGTAATTAAAATTTACGTATATGTCTTTCTTGAGTTTATGATTATATCAACTATTTACTGATATAAAATGAATATTAATCATGAATATAAGCTTATAAAGTATCTCTCTGGCTCTCCCTTACAAACAAATAACCTGTGTTTTAAGTTCCACCTTTGAAAATTTGATTTCCGGAAACTTCTGAGAACAATGATTTTTTTAAACGTCTGAACCTTCGATCTCCGGAAACTTCCGGATCATTGTTAGCGAAAATTCCAGATTTTTTCTGGAGCACAATCAGTCCTGATACTGTCACAAGTTTAGTTTTAATGTTCAAAAGCCCATATAAAACTCTGTTAACAAACATATTTTAGATTTAATAAAGATCTCTTCATCATAATATTGGAAATTGTTTTATTGAAATTACGAGAAGAAAAGTATTCGACTATTTGTCAAATTTGATTATTGTGGTCTTAAAAACATTTTTTTCAGTTCAATCTGTTCAAAAATTGTATCGAATTGCTTCACCTTGTTGGAATTTGTTGAATAAGTCTTCTGCTTGCCACAAACAAATTGTTTGAATAACAAAAACTCAATGACTTTACATGGTACACTTGTAGAAATTATATTGCTTATTGAGACAAAAAATGGGAAACTTCTTATATCATGATATGCATCACACAATTCTAATAAAACAACATCTGTAAGATTTGCATAGCAATCTTACAAATATTATTATACAAACCATTTAATTAATTCTGCATTTACTGCAGCTTATATACTGGCGCGCATGTTCTTGGCTAGTTGCTATTATAATACAGAAACTGAAGAGAAATAAAAAACATATAATTGTAAAACACTAGAAAATTTGTCATATAGCTTGTCAGGAAACTTCTAGCCACCCACCCCCATTGTTGAAAAAATTTTTGCAAGTAAAAATCCCATTATCGATTTTAGTTGGAAGGAACAGATGCCAATACGGAAATATAACCAAAGATACTCTTATTTTTAAAGGTGAATTTCTCTTTTTATTATTTGAATAGCATTTTTTCCTTTTCTATTTGTTAACGTTACAGTATCACCGGCAACATTAAAAAGATTAAATAAAACTGCATTTACGCCAATTTTCTGTAATGAAAATAGGCATTTATTACAGCCACTTATTAAACACAATGCAACAGCAACGCTTATTTTAATAGAGAGGGAAAATCTGTTTTATGATACGTACCGACTACTCCAACCTTTCCATTTAACCAAGTATTCAACTTTGCCCTAAAGAGAAAAAATATTAACTCAATATTATACTGCTATTTTATTACAAGATCAAAGATGAAATTAAAAATGCTACTAACTCTGCGAATACGCTTTTTCTGAATATATTCGGCATCAAACACTCTTTCACCAACAGATGACAGCTCCATTTTGGCTCAATATCTATCAATATTTACGGAATTTCGATATCAATAATATATTCTAAAATATCGATAAAAAGTTTAAAAAAGTGCTAAAACTTAGCTTAGGACCCATTTTTACTGCATTCATTTCGCGCTTGCTTACGCATGCAAATACGATTCGAGCAAGCGCGAGTTCATTTTGCACTTAAGAACCATTCTCGTTAAATGCAGTTTTTTCGCATGCAAATGAGAACCGTGGTTGGAAAATATTTACCCTGAAGAAACTCGGCCATCAGGCTCCCGTTTACACGCGTTTTCCCAAGCGAAAAAAATAAAATGCACAGTGAAAATTTATGGTGAACCAGATTGGTGAGTTTTCCGCAGGAAAATATATTTATCCAATCAGACTCTGATTCTTCATGACAGCAATCAAAGGTGCATTTATCGCCTCCAGTGAAAATGGCTTTTAAGGCACCGAACTACCATTGTCAAGAACCGGAGTTTGATCCATGCTGCAAAATAAATAAAAAAAAAAACTTTTTCGTAAATTTAAAAATTTACTGAGTTAATTTGATAACTTATAAGCATTTTATTATTATTTTATATCTTCTTTTCAGTGACTTTTCTTACAAAATTTTAAGTTAAGAACCTTTTTATAAATCTATTAAGTTTTTAATTTTTTTTGATTTTTAAGGTTATGAATATTTTTGTAATTTTCTTTTATATATATTCAGTTTTTGTTATAAAATTTTTTAGCATCTGTTTTTTCTTTTATTCTATTTGAATTCTTTTTATCTTTCTTGCTTTCACCTTAAAATATTTGATTAAAAAATATTTTCCTAATTATTAACTTTCTTAATTATTATATTTTAAACGTCCTAAAATATTTCTTAGAACGTTTATTTTAGAGAGTATTTTATCTTTTATCTCTATAGTATTATTAAGAGAGTATTTTATCTCGCTTTTTTTTTTAAAACTCATTTCTTCATTCTCCCACATGCATTAAATTAATGCATTAATTGTAATGCATTTTGTGATTGTTAAAGACTTCATATTTTACTGTTTCTCATTATAACAGACAGCTCATGCAGCAATATAGAATTTAGAAGTAATAAAATATGTTTCTTCCTTAGAAAATTGCTGACAGTAGATCTGCTGAATTTTAGATGAGAAACGTCTATTATTACAGCTTCGTTTATTATGAATTTAGTCTGAGACCTGTTCATTTAGAAAATTCTAATTTTGCCAATTTTGGCATTGAAATGAAAACCAATGCCAATTTTGGCATTGGTTTCGGATTGTAAAAGCTGAAACAAGTAACTTAAAAACAACTACTATTACTCATTTCTATAGGAAATTTTTAAAGTGAATTCAACAAACAAAGGAAAGCTTCATTCAGAAAAAACTTTTTTTCATATTTCCATCCCAATTATTCAGGTTGTTTTATCAACCATTGTAAAGTGATTGGGCTAAAAAATAATTAATAAAATATCTTATCACACATATGGATTAAGTATTTATTTTGGCTTCTTTAATTTTAAAAGCAAAGTAGATTTACATTATATTTTAAAAACACAACAAAAAATACACTTTTTCAAACAAGATACTAGTAGATGTGATTCAAAGAATTACATTTACACCCCTCAATAATCAATAAAGTTAACAATCCATTAAATAATTTTTTTTCCTAAACTGCTTTACATTCAACTCAAATCTGCAAAAAATCGATCAGAATGCGAAATATATACATACAAGCTTTATACATGCAAACATATAAATTTAAACAAAAAATTGTGCTATATTGATAAATAGACAACAATTACCATCCAAACTAATAAGTCAATGATTTATAATAGAATGGCAACAATTTATAATTTAAAAATTTAATAAATAAAATTTAAAAAAGCAAACAGTAGTAAATAAGAAGCACAAGATATTTAGAGTTTCACAAAGTTTTGTCAACTGTAATAAAAAAGAACATTGAAAACATTTTTTAAGTTGGCTTAATGTTGGTTAAAAGACAAAGTAAGATTAGTTTGGTTTATTGTCATGCTTATTAAACACATTTCCAAATAAATATTTTCTCACATGTAAGACATCAAATATTTACTTTAACAAACAACAATGAGTCAGCATGGATTGCACATTATTAAGTTTATCCAGACTAGAAAGATTTGACATAAAAAAATCATAAAAGTAAATTAGTACAAATCATTACACACTGCACATTGTGTTTCTTAAGTCAAAAATTACTTTAAAAAATAATTACACAGTTTCAAAATTTTTTTTAGCTAAAAAGAACATCAGTGATTTTTATTAAAAATTTATTTAAATTATTTTTTTAAAAATTTTATACACGCATTTGAAAATATTTCCTTAGAAATAAAAACTGAAATTCATAGCAGAAATAATAAAAATATATCAAATTTTTGTAATTTAAAGAAATTAAGTAATTTTTTTACTGCATACAGTTTTTTTTTACTGTGTTGCATCAAAATATCAGGATTTTTAATTTTTAGATATTTCTAATTTCAAGTTGGAAATGTCTAACAGAGCTCCACTGAAAAAGCAACATCTGGCTCACAAGTCACGGCTTGCCGACCACAGCACTAAGCATTCAGACGTAAATAATGCATTTTTAGAAAAAAAATATCAAAAAGATTAATTTCAATTCAATTATGGAACAAATAAATAAGTTTGTTTCAAGCTCAACGCTAAAAATTTGCCTTAAAATTTCAAAAATAAATACAGGTTATTTACAAATTTAAAAAACAAAGTATACCAGAAAATAAGAGATTATTAAAAAATTGTCCACTTTACCATGTTCTTCTGCAATTTCTTAGTAGTTGGCATACCTGATAAAGTAACATAGGAATAGAATTTGTTATTAGGGGTTGAAACCAGGTTTCTTTCCAGAGTTTCAATCACAAACTTATATATATTATATATATATTTAAGGGAGAGAGACATAACTCTCAAAACAACATCAAAGTCACGATTCATTCCAAGGGTCTTTGTTTTTAGACTGGCCTACCTGTGACTTTTTTATGGAGTAACAACAAAGACTGTGTGTTCGTGCCCCCCTATGCCACATGATTCAACAGAATTACAATGAAGGGTCACAATCGCATTTGGTACCATTGATCGTGACATGTTGCAGTAAGTGTGGCAAGAATTTGACTGATTTGAAGAAGACTTGAAGTCTACCGCATCACTTAGTCAACACATAATCACTAAAAATACTTTGGCAACTATTTTTAAAAAAAGGTTCATACAGTCCCTAAAAAATTAAAAAAGTGGTAAAAATAGATTATTATGTGATGTATTTTAATAAATTTTATTCTTTAAATCTTATTACAAAAAATTATATAAAGTTTCAAAATCTGTAGTTTCATATTTTTAAATACAATGTGAAAGTTAAAAAAGGAAATTTGCAACTTTTTCCTTATTTTGATTTGACACCACAATTTAAATTTTTTAAGTACAGTCCTTACTCCGTTAGATGTTTTTATATAACGAAAAACATGATAATAAAATACAGATACCAAACTTAAAAGAAGTTGGATGTTCTGTCCAATGGACAATGTATCCAGTTTCTCCTAGAAACTACTACATCCATTATATAAAAACTTCTTCTTCATCCCCCCCTTTTCTTTTTTAAATCTGTTTGATTTTTTATTTACTTTTAAAGCTGACCATACGAAAATGACTCTAATGTAGTTTTTCAAAAAGAAAAAAAAGCTATTTGATTCAATTAAAAAACTTTTTTTGTATTTAAACACACATTTTAACATATTTTTTCTTAACATTTTCAGCCCTCGATATTATATTTACATTCAAAGTTACCAAATAAATTGACTTCAATCAATTTTATTTTAAATTAATAATTTTCATAAACTTGTTCACATTTCCTTCCTTGTGTTATCGATGCATATTTTAAAATCAAATAATAATTACAATTTTGTTTGAATGATACAAATTTTTAAAAACTTTGATTTTTTTTTGAAAAATTAAAAAAAAAAAAACTATTGAAAGTTGTTTTAAAACAAATAAATACAAAGTTTCTGAAAGTTGATTTAGTAGTATCTCGGGAAAAGATGCCAAAGTTAGTCATTTTAACATGAGCTAAATAGGAACATTCAACTTCACTTAATAACAAATGATAAATTATAATATGAATTATAAAATTTTTTTACTATACATACATAAAACCACTAAAAAAACAGAAAAAAAAACATAGAGTAACCTTTTAAATGTCAAGTTACTTTAGAATTTGTACAAAAACTTTTCTAAGGAGCAGAAAAAACCTATTTGTCTGATTGGAAAGCACCTGTATCCTATTTTAAACTATCTATAACATTGACAATTAAAGAAGCAAAGAAATGATGTAGGACGAAAACAAGTTTGAATAAGAATTATTTATTGACATATATTTTTCTTAAATATAGACCAAAAAAAAAAAGCTTCATAGGAATGGATAAAATATCTACGTTAATATTTTATTTGAATTATATTCAAATATTACTGATAATAACTTAGATAATAAAGTTTTGTATTAATTTTAACTAGATAAAATAATCATTTTAATAAATATGCAATTCAAAATTATATAAGTTTTTTGAACGATTATTTCCTATTAAAAAATTTTTAATGTGATGCTCAATGGAATTAATCAGACATAGCTTTTTAAAATTAAAAATACATTACTTTTACTTTTTATATAAACATGTTCAATAAAAATTAGGCCTAATAATTTAATTTTAATCGAAATTTAATTGTTTTAATCTAAATAACCATGGCTTTTCACTTCATTGTTATAGTTGACTACTTTTATGGTAACATAAATTGGAATAAATTAAAAGTTAAATAAGCATAGATTTTTTTTTTTAATATCATGGTAACTTTAAAAGGTTAGTTTTAGACATAAAATTAAATGGCATGCATAGCCGTCAACGCTTGTATTTTAATAACAATTTAATTCACAACTGTAAACAGACATTTCTTTAATTTTCTGATACCTAACAGACACAATGAATGATTTAAAGGCTTTTGAGTTAGGTATAATGGTAGTTAAAATTATTTTTAACAGGCTGTTGAATTTGGCATTGCTTGGATTAAAAAGGGATTGATTAAGTCATCTGCATGGACTGTATCAAAATTTTAAAAATAAGAGCTGTTTAACTATTTTCTAACCGTTGTTAGTGAACAAAGCTATATAGTATTACATTATTTCTGCACTTTTTGTGATTTGTCACTTATTTGTTGACTTTTCATTATTTAGTTCATCCGAGTATGTTTTAAAACTAAAATTCATCAAAAGAAAGGTCAACTATACACAGTATTATCTGGTAAAAAAGAAACAATTGATCACGACCAACTTGCGATAATCAAGACTTTCCACAATGACACAATTTTCTTGATGTATTGGCACTTAACGCACAACTTAAATTTTAATATTTTTTTAAAATTCCAAGTGATTTTATATTATTTAGGTTTATATAAACATTTTTAAAAAGAAGATCTAAGTAAAATAAACATGTTGGTTTAAGTAATTTTCAAAATGCTAGTTTGGTAATGAGGTTCACCCTCACAAGACACAAAAATTATCTACATTGATTTTACTTGGGTTCATCAGACAATAAATAATTAATTAAAAACTCGCAATGGAACTCATTTTTATTAAACAGAGATGTAAGTTAGCAGAAGAAATGTTATATTTTAAATAATTGAAAAAATATTATGAATTGCAGCAGGAATATAAATAGCAACTATTTGCAATCCCATTGCTTTGAGAAATGATTTTCTTACACATTCCACTTGACTGGTTTAGAGTAGAATGTGCTAATGTTCATAGTGACTTTTCTTGTGCTTCTAACTATCAGTATGCCAAATTTCATTGCAATAAGATAAATGGTATAGGAAAGGTTAAGGGGGCAAACATTCATTTATACATATCACATTAATTAAACAAAAAATAACTATAAAAAGCATAAATTGTGCTATAACTTTAAATATAATTAAAAAAAATCTTCCAGAAAAATTTAAACAGTCGGCAGCTATGTACATTTAATGTTAGTTTAATACAAAATGTATTGGAATATTTATATTGAAAAGAAAGGGCAAATAATTTTTCATAATAATACATAAAAATCAGCAGTTGAAAATTCAGTAAATAAAAAATTTGAAATTATTAATATTATGAACTTTATAAAGAATGGTTAATAATTTCATGAGTCATAAAGAGAAGTAACTTTTTAATTGTGAGAAAAAAGCAAAAGCAAAGCAAAATATTTAATCATGTATAATGAAGAAATATTATGCAATAGTGTAATTTTTCATTTCTTCTAAACTTGATATATGGTTTGAAAACCAAATTTAAGGCAAATAATATCAAGTATAATAATAATAGCTCAGAACTCAAATTACTTTATAAATATTGAAGGATGGGCTTAAAATATATTTTCTTTTAAAAGATATATAACTCTAAAACTCCTTTAAACTTTGAAATAAGTAGTTTTTAATGATAGAAATCCATCTTCAAACATGTTTTCAACAAGTCAGGAGTGAATTATATAATAAAATTTCAGTTAAGCTTATGAATTCTGGTGGAGTTCAAAATATTTTAAAAGAGATAATAGTGCATCGAAAAATTAAATTTGCAATATGCTCAGAACTAAATAAACTACAGAAAATAGATAAAAATGTTGTAATCATTATAAATATACTCCTTACAATATAACATTTATTGAAAAAATTGCAATGTTAATCAACATCATTTTTCATAAAAAACATTAATCGTTTTTTTTTTTAAATACCTCTAAATGTTTTTTCTCCTGCAACACTGTGTGCCAGTTTTGATAAAGGAACAAATAAAATAAATGGTAACATTGCATGCATTGATTATAGAATAAATAAATAAATAAACAGCTTTAACACTTTCTAAATACCAATAGCATATAAATATGTTTACCCTGTAATATTAAATTCTATATACTTTGGAAAAATTCAATGAGTTTTGAAGCATGAACAATGAAACAACTTCATGCCATAATAAATGAACTCTAAAACTTAAAAAGAAGAAAGACTACAATTATTTATAATTACATTAACAACATCATATATAAAACTCTAATGGCCCCATTTAATTAACATAACATTCATTTGAATTTTATTAAACATGAATTTAAAGACTAGATGCAAAACAGTATGAAAAGATCAATTTTTTGCTAACATCATTTTTTACATATCTTATACAAATTAAGGGAAATGCAGGGATGCTAACAAATCAACCGGGTGTCACATTTTTCTTCTTTGCAACAGAAATACAAAACAGAGCGATTGACAAGATATTTAGCTTCTGCAATGTAAATGCATGAAGTATGTATTGGTCATGCAATTACAAAAATGCAAAGATTCTGTTATTTCTTCAAAATTTATTACCCATTTTAACTTTGATTAAATAATATAAACAACTGGCAAGGCTTTTATTTAATTTTGTTACAAATTTTTCTGCATTCATCAGATTTAAAAAAATAAGAAAATTGAATTACAAAATGAAAAAATAATTTGTCATAGATTTTTCTAAATTTTCTGCAGAGTAGTCGTATGATTAAATTTAGAAAATTATAACTTTTATGCATTTTTTTCTACAATAATAATAAAATAAAGCACATATTAAATTTTTTCACAATTTAAATAAAAATCTGTAGTGTTTAATATTCTCGAGAGAGTAACAAAACCTGCAATAAAATATCAAAATCTCAGCAATTATTTTATATTGTAACAATTCAGCATCTTTTATTTATATTTTAAGTTTGATTTGATCTTGGAAAATTTGTAATTTCACTGCTGATTTGTAAATTTACTTTTGCCGCAGAACAGTAAGATTCAATTCTGCTTCTGGATTCGCCCATATGGAGGAAAAAAAATATTTTAAAAATAAATAAAAGGTTGTTAAAAAAATGCAAAATTGGGTTTTTCACAGTTTTTAAAGCTTTCTATAATTCTGCTGATGAATTGAAAATCAGTAACAGTATAGTAATATTTATATTTTTAGTTTGATTTGACTCTTGGAAAATTTGCAATATTACAATAAATGTAATATTACTTTTTCTGCAGAAGACAGGGTGCGTAGTCAAATTATTCAACAAAAAATAAGCACCTTTTAAGTACTTTTCAAGCACTCAAAAGATATTTTTAAGCACTTTAAAAAAATATCATAATTGGGCAGGGTTGGAAAGTTTTTGACAATTGACGGTTTTATCTTGTTTTAACCGTCATGTCAAAAAAAAAAAAAAACTTTTGGCATTGTTTTTGACAATTGTCAAAAATCATGAAATTTTGAATCATGTAAAACGAATGGTGTTTTCAAACGCTATGGACTGACAATACGTCGAAATAGATTGGGGTTGAATGAATTGTGAAAACGTTGAACAGAACAATGTGAACTGCGTCTCTTTGCATAATTCACAGCGAAAATGAACATGGCAAAGGAAAAATTTCATTTTGAAATAGGGAAAATTAAGCACTTTTTAAAAAAAGCCAATGAAAAAAGAACCTTAAAGGGCTTTTAAAAAACGAAAATTGAAAATAAGCACCTTTAAGTACTTTTTAAAAACGATACGCACCCTGTAATATTACTATTAATGTAATATTACTTTTTCTGCAGAAGAATAAGATTTAATCCAACTTCTGGGTTTGTCCATATGGGAAATTTTTTTTTTTAGAACTCACAAAAAAATTAAAAGGTTGTTAAAAAAAAAAATTCGAAACTGGATATTTCACATAATTGTGTTGATTGCTCAAACACATCTGTAATCTTTCCTGCCAATATATAAACTTTCAATAAAGATAACCTGCAGAAGTTAGCATCCCACTGAAATGGCATTTCCCTCTTGAGCCCTTCACTCAGTCTAAATGAACATAACAGATGAAAAGTATATCAGTTCCACTATTTGTGCTTCTTGCTACCTATTAGTGTTTTCTCCTATGTCACCAGGAAAAAATACAGATGATGCACTACTTCCGCTATCAAGCTGACTCTCAGTGGACTGAAGTATCGGTGGTGCACTAGTCTTCTTTAGTATTCCACGTAACCTACCATCACCAGGAGATGTTGGAGTCAGTGGTATCTGTTCTGAGGAAGGCATAAGGTTTATTTGATTGGAGAGCACAGGTGTTGCTGGTGCATTTTGTGTGTTGGCAGAAATTATGCTTTCCCTTTCTTTCTGGAACAACTTGCTAAACACTGGCATCAAATTACGAAGCTGAAATAATTGAGTTATGAGAAAAATTATTTAAATTTAAAAATTTTAATTTTAGATTTTCAAAAAGATTTAAGAATGCTAAAAAATCTACAAAAAAAAAAAACTTTTAAAGCCAATTTAAGAATTAAAAAAATTTAATATACTTGATTAATAGCAGAGCAGCTCTGTTCATAAACTTGCTTTAGCAAATCAGTTTGTGTGGCAAGCATAGTCATATTCCAAAGGAAATTTTCAACAACCTAAAAATATTCATTCAAACTTAAAAACAAGAAAATGCATGTAAGTACTCAGTAGATGATGAACAATTTAAGATTTTCATTCATTTCATTTTGAGCAGATCTTAGTATTTGAACCTACAGTAAATACTTCTAGACTTTATAATATGCATTGGTATATTTTTACTGTAATTATGATTTTTCAGTTTTGAATGAGAGGGAAAAAATCAAGTTAATGATTTAAATTTTTAAGACAAAAAAAGCTCTAAATACCATTAGGTAAGAAAATTTATCAAATAAAACACCTATAAAATAATTTGAATGTTTTAGAACATTTCTTACAAGATAAGATATAAGTAAGTATTATAACAAATCTTTTATCTTAATAACATAATAAATCTGTTAACAAAATTAAAGACTAATTGTATACTTTTATACATAAAAATAAATTACATTATTAAATACACAAAAGTAAATAGAATGAATTGGATGGCCCACGTGATTCGAATGAGGGAATGACAATACAATAAAAAAGATATTGCTTTTTAGACCCACTGGAACAAGAAAGCGGGGAAGGCCTGGGTTGAGATGGGTTAACTTGGTGGAGTCTGATTTATGATTAATGAAAAGAATTGGAGATCAAAGATAAATCGGAAGTCATTATGGAGATATCTTCAAAAGAAGGCATTGGCCAGGCTGTCTAGCCAACTACGATGATGATGTAAACTTTTAATGCGCTTATATTTTAATAACTTATAGCTGCTTCACTGAAAAGAAAATATTTTCAACAAGATATCATAAACCAAGAAAAGTATGTTAATTATTTACCTTTACTCAAATGCTGTATTGAATTAACAAAATAAGACGAAAACTACTGTACTATAATTTTATCAATCTATATATTTATTAAGAATAGAAGCTTAACTAAATACTTATATTATTATACACTTATATTACTAAAAAGATTAAATAAACTTAAAAATATTAAACAATTTCTAAACTTCAAAATATATATATATAATTTGAAAGAGTATAAACAGTTTTTAAACATACTTTTTCCACTTTT